TCCAGAACAATATCTCAAAACTCTGGAGTTTTCAATGAATGCAAGAAGTAATGCTGAACATACTGCAGATAATTCTGGTTCATCACTAAGCTTAACATGAAGAGAATGCATTTTCCTAGATATTTATAAATTAGATCATAAATTGATAAATTTCCTTAATTAGTGCCTATTATCATGCGCATTATTTTTTAAACTTATATTAAAATGACGCATTTTTTATTTAATTAATCATAATAATCTCATTACTATTTTTAGAGTTCGTGATAATCATTTGAATTGATATTCAATCCAAAATAAATTAATATTATTCTAATTAAACATTCAATAAAAATATTCCATTAAATCTCTAATTCAATTACGTTAATCTTTCATCTATTAGATTGATTAATATAAATTTAAAATGAATTAAAACATCCACTTATGAATAATAACACATAAAAATCTATCAAATTACTACTCATTATGATTAATCTTAAAATATAATTTTATATAGAAAATATTAAGTTATATAGAAAATATTAAGTTATACTAAAATTATTAATCATCCTTAATTCATTCAATTTAATATTTATAAAACAAAAAATGATTTATAGTCTGATGAAATACTTCCTTCCTCTGAATGAATAACATATATTATTTATATATTAGTTAATTATATTCATTATTTTAATAATCTTTTCATTTCACAACCACATACTGGACAGACTTTAATAGACTCTATAGATTGTAAATCACATCCTTTGCAAACAAATAGTTATTATAAATAGACTGGTTCAATTGTAGTTTAACATCTTATAAATCTATGAGTTGGACATGTAACCCATGTAATTAATTATTATTTACAGATTGGACAAATATCTTCTTTTCTTAAGAGACTTGGTACAAATTTATTTTTTACTGCAGCAATCTAAATTTTAATTTTATCATTTGTTGGTTTAATTGACTCAAGATATGTTATATAAATATGATTATAAAAGTCTTTGTATACTTCATGTTATTCCATTAACATTAATAAATTCAATATAGCTTTACCAGTTGCTTTTTATAAATCTTCAAATTTATATTATTTTAGTAATTAATCTTAAACTTTATTTTTTTTTTCATATAATTATTTAGCAATTTCTAAACACATAATTTCCTTTTTAATATAATAGTAATATATTTTAAAATCATTGATATTAAGTGGTTATTAAAAATTACTATTTAATTAAGGTTAAATCATTAATCTGAAAAGTTCTTATGGATCTTTCTCCATAATAATACAATTTATTGATTATCCTACTTATTCTTTTAGACAAGCAAACTCTAAAATTTGATTGTATGATTTACAAACCGAAATTACTCTATTGATTTTACTCCATTTATTAGAGATCATAATATTACCATTTTTGAATAAGAAATCTTATTCATTAATTGGATAAAACTTGCTCATAAAAGTTAATTGTAATTTAATTTATTTTTCTTAAGATTTAATTTTAAGACTCTATATTTAAGTTCCACATAATATATATAAAGTATCTTCATCTATAATTTCTATTTATAATGCACCAGGAAATGGTATCTCATATGTGTTTTTATCATCATAAATAAGAATTTAAGATGAATTATATAAAACTAAAAGAGAATGTGCATAAATCATTTCATCCTTATACTCTTAATTCAAATTTAATTTTATATTTCCAATCAAAAGCTCATTATTTCTATACACAGCCAAATTATTATTCCAACATGAAATCGCTTTTACATTATCAAACATTAGTTATTAATCTATAACTAAAGCCCCATTATTCCATAAAACAATAATTTATTCTTCCATAACATAGAAATCCTTAATTTATGGTTATTCAGAATTAAGTGATATAATTCTTTTTTCAAGATTGCTGCTATATAATATAGGGTAAGAATCTTCACGATATGCTAATGCAATAAATTTAGTTTGTTCATTATCATTAAAAGCACTAGTTAAAGTATCAAATGTTTGAAATTTAGGTATGTTGATTTTTTTTTTAATAATATCCTTTCTTTAAGTTAAACGCTTTATTGATAGTACAATAATCTCATATGAATATGCAATATATAGGAATTCATTTTTGGCAATCATTTTGATAACATCTTGTGATGGCTCAAAAAATTTCTAAACTTAAAATTCTTATGAATAATTCATAATAAGTTTATAATCCCTTTTTTAAGAAATATATTATAATTATCAATTAAATAAATTATATTCTAAATAATAAACTAAACTAAAATCATTTATATAGTATTACTTAGATTGCGATCAAATAAATAATTATTTATCAAGATTAAAATGGCTTGTCATTTTGTTAATGAATAAGAAGTTCTTGAATATGCTTCAATGACTAGTTCTCATCATGATGATGGTTCTGAGAATGATAGTTAAAGTGAAGATGCAAAATAATCTAATCAAATAAAAAATCCTATACTTCTAAAATCTGAATCATAATTTTCTGAGAGTGACTTATCAAATAAAATTAAATTACCTAGAGGAGGAAGTGTTATAATGACAAAAGTTGGTGCAATACAATTCAGTATGGTTCCTGAAACATTGAAAGATAGCATCAATTTAGGTTTGGATGTACCAGGTATATTTATTGTACCATCACATCGATTTGATAAAAGATTTTGTTTATCTGTTGCAGAATTTGAATTTCCATCTTATTTTAGTTTTTTTGTAAAGAGAAAGAGAGTAACACTAATAACTGATAAGGAAGGAGAAGAAGCAATAAGAACAATATTTTAAGAAACTTTGCTAGGACCAAAAGATTTATAAAAATTTGATTAAGATTTTAGCAATGATTATAATTGTAAACCAGATATAGTGAAAGAATTAGGACATTTTGCAAAGAATCCATTTAATCCTAATGAACCATTGACTGTAGATTTATTAATCAATTTTTTAATTTTTGATGAATAAAATCAAGTAAATTTAGGTTAGGATGTAATAGTAAAAAAAGTAGATTAGAAATTTATTATATATGAAAATGGAAAATAGATAGCTAAGATGAAAAATAAAGTTGAAATTATGATAGATGATATTAAATCAAATGCATATATAAAATATGGATTATTTAGTAATCCTAATGATTAATAAAATATTGAACATTATTTTGAATAGACATTTATACCTCCTATTTTTGGAGTAACAGTTTTAGGTTGTTCACATGGATTTGATCCAAAAGGTTCAGTATCAGGTTATATCTTTTGGATAAATGGTTTAGGTGTGATGCTTGATCCTCCTCCATTTACAACACTACTTTTGAGAAAGAATGGAATACCAAGTAGATTAGTAAAATGGGTAATTATATCACATAATCATGCTGATCATGATGCAGGCACATTTTAAAAATTATTAGAATCTGAAAAAACAATATTAATTAGTACTGCAACAATAAAAGAAAGTTTTGTAAGAAAATATGCAGCTATGACTGCATTTTCAGTAGATTATATTGAATCACTTTTTAATTTTGAAAGAGTTATAGTAGGAACCCCTTTAAAAATAAATGGAGCTTAATTTGAATTTCATTATTCATTACATAGTATTCCTTGTTTATCTTTTACTGTAAGATTAGGTGGAAAATCAATCTATTTTAGTGGTGATACATTCTATGAACCAAATGGATTAAAAACAATATTTGAGAAAGGAGTAATTTCAGAATCAAGATACAATTATTTGATGAGTGAAGATAAATGGAAGAATTCACTTATCTTACATGAAGCTGGTGTACCTCCTATTCATACTCCTGCAAAATTATTGGCATAATTACCATCAGAAGTTAAAGAGAAATTAAGATTGATTCATACTGCAGCTAAAGATATCCCTCCTGATTCTGGATTAAGAGTTCCAGGAATAGGATTAGAGAATACAATAATTTTAATTTAATAATCTGAAGATTCTAGATTAAATACAATATAAGAATTAAGTTTGATTGAAAATATAGATTTGTTTAAACATGCTAATATTCATTAAGTAAGATAGATTTTTGAGAGTTCAACTATTAAAAATTATGAATAAAATTAAAATATATGTATTTAAGATGAGATAGGAAATGAATTTTATATAATTCGTAAAGGAACTGTTAAAATACATTCTGATAATCCTATTTTTGTGAAATATATGCATTATGGTGATTATTTTGGTGAAGGATGTTTCTTTAATTAAAATAAAAGAAAAGCTAATGCTACAGCTATGAATTAATGTTAATTAATTACATTAAGTAAAGAAGACTTTTTGAGAATATTTTAATATGGTGAAGTGATGTAAAAATTAGAGAATCTTTAAGTTGTTCGTTCATAAATATAAATAATGGAAAGAAATAAATTCTTTTCTTAATTAACATCTTATTAAAAGATTCAATTAGAAATGTTATTAAATTAAAAAAGATTTTTTTAAAAACATTCTATGATTCAATAATATGGTGTTATGGCTACAGTTGCATTTTTTGTAGTTTCTGGTAAAGCATAAGTTATTCTACCATCTGATTATGTTGTATAATAATATGAAGGATAATCTGTAAAAATTAATAGATAAGAATCAACTACAAGTGATCATAATAAATAATAATAATAATAATAATAATAATAATAAATTATTGATTAAAAAAAGAAGAGACTTTCTTTACCCATCAATTTAGCTATGCTTGAATAATAAAAACCAAGTATCTTAACACCAGAAATATCAGAAAAATCATCAATAAATGAAATAAAAGTATATCATATATATATTATTATTTAGACTTATCCTTTAACAAGTGGAATGTTCTTTGGAGAAATTGATTCTATTATTAAAAACAAAAGAACTACTACAATTGTTGAGGCTGTAGAAGATACTGAAATTATTATCTTAGAATCATCATCATTAAGATCATTTTTAGCTGACAATCCTGGATTAATGGTACTCTTTTAAGAGAGTATTATTATAGAATGAATAATTGTCATTATATTTATAAAATAGAATAAAAATACTTAATAATATAAATATTTCATATTGCAACTGTAAATTATGCAAATACAGGTCTATGATCACTACCTAAGATATCAAAATTTGCATCATAATTTTATAATTTCAATTTAGAAGTCATATCTTTAAAACTTTATGATGTAGATTATATTGTCATTTTTTTATTTTCTTTATAAAGTATTCTATCACACCAACCTGGAATTCTAAAATCTTAATCTAATGACCATGAATTATAATTTTATAATAATTTGTATGTTGGTGGAAAAAAGATCATTCCTTCTTAAAATTATGATTAATAGTCTTGAGTATTAAACTAAATTTACTTAATTTATTATGACGACTAAGATACATTTAATCTTTTCCTAACCATCCAAAAAAATCAGAATGAGTTTTAATTGTTTAAGGACTTATGTTTTCATTAATTCTAGAATTGAAATCTCCTGTCCAAATAAGATAATCATATTAAACATGATTATGATTTGAAAATACTTAATTTTAAAAATGAGTTTCCAATTTAGAAAATTAAGTTTATCTTTTAGATTCAGAATTTTATCCACTTTCTAAATGGCTATTAATGAATAAGAAAATCTTATCATCGATATTTACTGATACTGCTATTCCTCCCTTATTGCCAACAATTCCCATAAAACCTTAAGAGAAAGTGTATTACTTACCATTTCTTATTTTAGGTATTAATGATTTATGAGCAAAGACTATGATATGCATTGCATTCAGTGAAGCTGATTATACTTTTATATAGGATTTTCCTAATTCGTTCTATAATTTAACTTCCCATTCATTTTTGGATTCACAAAATATTGATGTTACTATACTACGTTAACATTCTTATGTTCCAATAACTATAATATCATGATATAATATATCAATATTAAATAGCCTTTTTAATGAATGGTTGGGTATCATCNTTTACCCATCAATTTAGCTATGCTTGAATAATAAAAACCAAGTATCTTAACACCAGAAATATCAGAAAAATCATCAATAAATGAAATAAAAGTATATCATATATATATTATTATTTAGACTTATCCTTTAACAAGTGGAATGTTCTTTGGAGAAATTGATTCTATTATTAAAAACAAAAGAACTACTACAATTGTTGAGGCTGTAGAAGATACTGAAATTATTATCTTAGAATCATCATCATTAAGATCATTTTTAGCTGACAATCCTGGATTAATGGTACTCTTTTAAGAGAGTATTATTATAGAATGAATAATTGTCATTATATTTATAAAATAGAATAAAAATACTTAATAATATAAATATTTCATATTGCAACTGTAAATTATGCAAATACAGGTCTATGATCACTACCTAAGATATCAAAATTTGCATCATAATTTTATAATTTCAATTTAGAAGTCATATCTTTAAAACTTTATGATGTAGATTATATTGTCATTTTTTTATTTTCTTTATAAAGTATTCTATCACACCAACCTGGAATTCTAAAATCTTAATCTAATGACCATGAATTATAATTTTATAATAATTTGTATGTTGGTGGAAAAAAGATCATTCCTTCTTAAAATTATGATTAATAGTCTTGAGTATTAAACTAAATTTACTTAATTTATTATGACGACTAAGATACATTTAATCTTTTCCTAACCATCCAAAAAAATCAGAATGAGTTTTAATTGTTTAAGGACTTATGTTTTCATTAATTCTAGAATTGAAATCTCCTGTCCAAATAAGATAATCATATTAAACATGATTATGATTTGAAAATACTTAATTTTAAAAATGAGTTTCCAATTTAGAAAATTAAGTTTATCTTTTAGATTCAGAATTTTATCCACTTTCTAAATGGCTATTAATGAATAAGAAAATCTTATCATCGATATTTACTGATACTGCTATTCCTCCCTTATTGCCAACAATTCCCATAAAACCTTAAGAGAAAGTGTATTACTTACCATTTCTTATTTTAGGTATTAATGATTTATGAGCAAAGACTATGATATGCATTGCATTCAGTGAAGCTGATTATACTTTTATATAGGATTTTCCTAATTCGTTCTATAATTTAACTTCCCATTCATTTTTGGATTCACAAAATATTGATGTTACTATACTACGTTAACATTCTTATGTTCCAATAACTATAATATCATGATATAATATATCAATATTAAATAGCCTTTTTAATGAATGGTTGGGTATCATCCCATGCATATTCCATGTTATAACAAGTATTCTTATATCGTTCTCAAAATTCCATTCATTTCTTGGTTAATTTAACCATTTATATGAACATTTATGATTGAGATGTAACATTTCTTGATTCAAATTTCCTATAAGTTTTTTATCTTAAGAATATTCACTAAAGAAGTTTTCATTAAAAAGTGGAAATGGTAGAGGATCCTCAATTAAAGGATAAGCAGATTGAGTTTTCATTTTAAAGAATGATTTTAATATAAAATGTAGTTATCTAAAAAATTTGAAGAATTTTAAGACCTTGATCCAAATGAACATTTTCCTTAAAGGCGAGTATCAAGAACTATAGGTTATTAGAATAGTGAATCTATTCAAGAAGAAGATGAGGAACAGTCTTCTTCTAGTATGAATTTACCATAACCAAAAAATTCATTTATGATTTCTTCAATCAAATAGCCAGTTGATTTTTCTGGAAGTGATATGAAAGTACCTACAATTTATACAAATATGCATTCAAATAAAAATTTTGATAAGAACCCTTTTAAATAAGATTCAAAATAAAGAGTTGATAATAGTGGTAGTGTATTGATTGATGTATCAGTATTGGACCCATAAGATTCATTATAATCTGAATCTGTAAGAATGAAGATTTATTTTATAGCTACAATCAGAATTGATGGATAAAAATAATAAATCTTCCACACTTAATTCATTTCATGTGAAGAATTTAGTGACTAAATTTGTTCAGAAGATGAAAAGAAATATTAATTGGAATTAATTAAAAGACATTACTTTAATTGATGATTAAACATCAAGTAAATATTTTTTAAATATCAATAGTCTAACCCTAATTATATAAATGGTTCACAATTTCATATTTCATTTTGACTTCTCTTATCATACTTGCATCATCAATATTTATACCTATACACATAGCTAAAGAATCAGGTTTTGAAATTCCTGCATATTTAACTCATTGTTTAGCAATAATTCAAATAATTGCTGATATTTATTTTAAGAGAGGACCTTTTCATTTGAGTGAAGGTAAGTTTAATACTGAATATGTTGATTAAACTAAATTAGCCTTAGATTTTAGTAGATTAGCATCAGCTATAGTTTTAATCTTTCCATATTAATATGAACTCAATTACATCATTATACCTTATATCATAATGTAATTGATTAGACAAGCAGAACGTTTTGAAAATATATACAATTCTACGTAATTAATAATTTACATATTAATTCTTTGGGTGGCATTAATTATGACATTTGCTTGTTTATTAGAATCTGATGAAGGTATAAATTATTCAATTACTTTGGCTGTCTCTATATTGACTCATAATGGTGCTATATCTATTGATGTCACTCATTCAAATGCCTTACTCTTACAAAGTTTTATGATTATTAGTTCATTCACTATGATTTATACAGCTTCAGCAATTTTCATTTGGATTAAACCTGTAATGAAATTAGAAGAAGAAAAAGAAAAACATTTAGCTTCATTTTTAAATGGAATTAAAGATAAAAAAATTGATTATGGATTACAATGTCGTTGTTACTCTTATTTAGAATATGTAATTGATGTAATGCCAATCTATTATCTAAGGTTAGGAAGACATCATTAAGACAAGAGATCTATTATCTAAAAAGTTGTCACCTGGTCTTTAGGAAGAATTATAAGTTTCCATTCGTTCTAAGATGGTTGATAAAATTAGATTATTTGATAAATTTTCATCCAGTTTGAAGTAATAATTAATATATTGGTTTGATATTGCATAATACAATCCTGAAGAGAATATTGTTTAAGTATGAGAATACATTTTAAATTATATTAGGAACATTAAGTTGAAGATTTCTGTCTCTACTTTATTTTAAAAGGAAAAGTTAAAATACAATTTTAGGGATACTTTTAAGGTAAACCAAAAAGGACATTTCATACATTATAAGAAGGATAAACCTTTGGGGAATTTTCATTCATAACTGGAATTCCTCCTTATATTTCAATTAATAGTTAAGGATTAACTACAGTTTTAAAATTGAGAAGATCTGATTTCTTAGAAATAATTAAGACTTATCCTTAAGACAATGAGATGTTTTGTTTATTCAAAGATAATTGTTACTAGAATCATAATATGTTTGAATGCAATTATTGTAAAATCAAAGGTCATTTATTATTTGAATGTCAATACTTATAGTATTATCCAAAAAAAATAAACGTAATTGAAAAACATATATACCCTCATCCATAATAACGGTTTAAAATTGAAAGAAGAAATAAAGAACCTAAGGCTTTGTTAATGCTATTTGTTGTAGGGGAACGAGCCAAACAATATCAATAGAAATTATCATAAGAAGTTATGACATCTGAAGACTTTCCTATGTCATCTCAATTACCTTATAGTGAAAGTATTTATACTCTTGATATAAATATATATTAAATCTACATAGATTAGACCTAACAATCCGCAAGCTATTTGAGTAAAACCCAATCCGTGCACAAATATAGTCCTGAATAATTAAGTGATAATCCAGACAGTGAAGAAGATCAACTCTATGAAGAATTAGCCATCGATCCAGTACTTAATAATTAGTTAAGAAAATAATAAAACAAAACTACTTTAAGAACTGCAGGATTTCCCTTTATGTCTGAAACATTAGGTATTTCTATCTAATAAATTAACTCTAGAAAACTTACATAAAGAGAAATTGCAAGTTATTACTGAATAATCTTAAAGTAAGTAATTTGACTCTCTTAATTCAAAATAAGAGGATACTAATTAATTAAGCAAGTAAAGTAGTGGTTCCTAAGCATTTGCTAAGAAGAATCATCTCTATAGTGCTGCTCGTTCTATGCATGCCAAACTTACATTTCGTTATTAACAATAACAATCAGGATAAATAGATGATCAATTTCAATATCAATAATAACAATAATAGAATTCAATCAGATAAACATCAAATCGTTCTAATACATATTCCAATCCTCTATCTAATAATTTATCTAATAATCCTTCAAGTAATTCTAAGGCTAATACTAAATCTGCAAGAGTCTCTCCAACATAATTTCAATAACCTCCTCCTTAAAAAAAGAAGGAGGAAAGAGGATCTCATAGTGATTAATCACTTTCAGAATAATAAAGACATACAAACAGAAAGAAAAGTACTAAAACAGGAACAAAAGTGAGTATTCTCAATTAGATGTCACAGTTCTAAATAATTAACACTCCAGAGGTATTCAATTTAATTTATTAAAAGAATCATCACTATTAATATAATGATATTGTATTTAACAGATTTGAAAAGATGCATTTATTTAAGTATTATAATCCACATAATAACTACAATAATGTAATTATAAGGTACAATTTATAATCAAAGAATAGAATGAACAAATTCCATAGAACAAAGAAAAGTAAGCCAATTCATTACACTATAAAATGTTTTGTATCTTCAAAAATAAGGAGAGTAAAAAAGATTTTGGATTCTTAGTTATGATATCTGTTAAATGTTTTACTAAGATATAAGGAGAAATGTTATTAAATGATATTTAATGATGAAATGAAATGGTTCTCATTTTGAGTTTTAGTTTTCACCATACTTCTCTTCAATCCATCTCATAGTAATGGATCCTGGTCTTTCAATTGGTAATCCGAATGCTCTGGACCAGATAAGATTAGCCATGCATCCTAATGCTCTTGAGACAGCAAATACTACTGTGTAGTATTGGAATTCTTTCATTCCATAATGATAGAGCAATACTCCAGAGTGTGCATCAACATTTCTATGATAATAAATAATAAATACGGCCATGGATTTTAAATTTTTCCAATAGTTTTCAAAACAGGTGGGATTACATGATAACATTATCTAACTAAATCAACTAAAGGATCATCTTTAATGTGTCTAGCAGCAAATTCTTTTTGATGAATGAAACGTGGATCAGTATATCTTAAAACAGCATGTCCATATCCTGGAATAACTTTACCTTCTCTTATTGTAGTAAGAACATAATCTTGAATTTTTTCATTTGAAATGTTATCACCTAATTCTTCCTATTATATATTTAATATATTGAAATACTTTTAATTCTAATAACCATTTAAGCACTTCTTAATTAGCTAGACCATGTAATGGACCAGCTAAACCATTGACACCAGCAGAATATGACAAATATGGATCTGCCAATGCTGAACCAACCAAATGTGTTGTATGGGCACTCACATTACCTCCTTCATGATCAGCATGAATGCTTAAATATCCTCTTAAACATTCTCGAACTTCAAATTTATTGTATCCAAGCATGTGTGCATAATTACCAGCCCAATCTAAATTATCATCAGCTGAGATAATTTCTCCATTCTACATTATAAAAATCTATATACCTTATATTTATGTCTGTAAATAAGAGCAGCTACTCTTGGAATTTTGGCTAACAAATCCATAGCATCCTCATAGAAATATTCCCAATATTAAGGCTTTGAGACTTTTCCTTAATCATAAGCTTATTAAAAAAGGGAATCTTTCTATAGATACAATAGAGTTTATGATAACATAGTCATTGGATGAGCTGATTTTGGTAAACTCAAAATAAAATTTTGTGTTTATGAATCCAATTGTCCTCTCTATTTCCATTCCTATTGTACATCAGCGAATTCTTGTTCAGCTAAAAATATTAATGAATCATATTACATGGGAAATCACCTGTACATAGTAACCAGAATAAAGCTTCTGGAAGAGGCTCATGACCATTCTCAGCTTTTTATAGATACTCTTGTAATTCTGGAATATTGTAATCTCTCATTGTGATACCCTAAGAACTTTTAATCCTAAATTATTACAGTCTTAGCATCCAACAATGATGCATCATAAAACAAAGCAAACACATTTCTCATACCTCCTATGGCTTGGTCAACTGTCACCTTACAGATTTCTTTTGATCCATATCTCTTTCTCACATCACGAAGTAAAGCTTATTTAACTGGCACAAGATCTCTCATTCTTTACTTTAAGAGACCATGAGAGTTATTATATAAGGTTCTGTAGAATAATTAAGCAACACTTTTTTGTTTTGTATTCATGATGAGATATTAATTTTATTTTCAAGATAAAAAGATATTTTATCACTTAAACACGTAGTATTAATAATATGATAAATTAATTAAAAAGATATGTAAATAATTCCCTTTTTATTTTTATAAAATTAAATTTTATAATTATACACATTAATAGTATGGGGATATTAATATAAATCCAATAACTCATCATATTAATTATAATACAATTGTTTTCAATTTATTAATATTATTTAATAACAAAAAATGACAAAAAGCAATACTTTATGATTAATCAATAAATTATGTGTTCAACCTTCTAATTATTTTGACCTCAAGATAATTTATAATAATTCTTTAATGTTTATATATAATATCATAATTCCTCCACCTTCTATAGATAAAAGAACTATCCTTGATAATCAGGGTTAACTTCATGAGGCAATTCTACTAAATATACAGGAGTTAATGCTCCTTAATCTATTGTCAATTCAGCCTCATCTCCAGCCATATCAGTTTTAACCCATCCAGGACAACATGTGTAAACTTGTAAACTTTTATTCTTAACTTCAGCATTTTAGGCTAAAGTTTTAACATATGTATTAATAAGCAATTTACTGATTCCATATCCCCAACTTGGCCATCCATTCTATTCATATGTGTCTAAGTTAATTATAATATATAATACTATTCTTAACATGTTCTTAAAATTCTTCTGCCAATTTGAATACGTCTTCTCTAGTAATATTTGGATTTTTGAATCTTTTAACAAGATCATCAGATTTCAAATATTTTGTTTTACCAGCTGATGATCCAACTGTGATTATCTTTCCATTTTATGTTAATAAAGGAATGAATTTTTCAGTCAATTCGACTATAAAATATATAAGTTAAAAGATATACTAGTGCCATAGAAGTTTGGTTTAAAAGTGAATTGAACAACTTCCAAATTGAAATCATCTGATTTGACAGCTACAGCAGCATTGTTAATTAAGATATCAGCCTAATGGAATCTAGTTGTAAATTCCTGTATGAATTTATCAATACTATCACTATTACTTATGTCTAATTCAATAGTGTCAATTCTATCTTGAGAAATCTAAGTTGACATAAAAGCAATTGAATACATTGTATTTTTCTATCAATTTGGTTCTAGACTTTTAAGCTAATTCAAATAATCGACAAGCCATAATGACTTTATATGACTACTTTTGAATGAGATTTTCAAGAATGCCAAAACCAATACCTTTGTTTGCTCCTGTAATGACAACTGTCTTAAAGGCTTACATTTTTAAGAAATTATTGATTTTCCAAATTCCAAGAATTTAGATATGAAATGATTTAATAGATGTAATTAATCAGTTTTAGAATTCTTAATTCCACATATTAGACTAATTCAAGTTTAATAATATAAGTAACAGCTAAATAAAATGTCGATATTAGAATAGGCATTGAAAAAAGCTGTGGGTTTGGGATATATGAAATGGGGATTAATATTTGGTTTTGCAAATGGAATAGCTGTGTATTCATATTATAGAGAGAATCGAAATAAATATGATTTAGAGGCTTATCAATAATCAGTGACAAGATATGTCTCTTATTAATCTGGTAAAATGGCTGAAACATACATACCAAAATGGTTAAGAAGTCCTTTATTTTCATTATTTGGTTATGTTTATGATGTTAATTATGATGATATGTTAGAATCACTAGAAAATTATGAAAATTTTCAACAATTTTTTACTCGAAAAATAAAAAGTAGAGAATTTGATAAAAGTGTAAATAAACTAATAGTACCAGCAGATTCTAAAGTGTTATCATTTTGTGAAGTTAAAGATGATAGTCCAATATTAGTTAAGAATGTACATTATAAATTGGGATATTTTTTAACAGGACAAGAGACTTTTGAAATGACTCCTTAGATATTAAATGATGCAAAGAAAAGATAAAATACAAAACTATATTCAGTAATATTTTATTTGGCTCCTGGAGATTATCATAGATATCATTTACCTAGTGATTTCTAATTGAAAAGTAGAAGTCATATAGTTGGACATTTAGCACCTGTAAAGATAAGTTATATTTCAAATACACCTAAAGTATATGAGACAAATGAAAGAGTGTCTTTGTTTGGAACTTATAATTTTGGATTAATGAGTATTGTTTTGGTTGGTGCTACTAATGTGGGATCAATGACTTTAAATTATGATAAGGAATTTTAAACAAATTAGAAAGCATAAGAATTGTTTGTTTATAAACATTATGATCCAAATATATTACTTAGAAAAGGTGATGAATTAGGAATGTTTAAATTGGGGTCAACAGTTGTGATGATGTTTGAAGCAGAAAATGTAAAATGGAATATAGAGGAAGGTTAAAAGTGTAAATGGGGTGATGTATTTGCTGAAGTAAGTTGAGTTTTTAAAAAATATATCAATTTTAATTTTAATGGCAATATTAAGAATAAAAGAATAAGAAGTGTCATACTCTTATCTATATATTGTGGTGTCATATATAGTGATCAAATATCTTTTGGAACAATTCATTAATCTCAGACAATTAGATTAATTGTCAGTGAAACAGATGCCAATTCATATTGAATAGACTTTGGGGATCACACAGAAATAATTTAAGAGAAGTTAACGATTTTATTATGATAAACTGTAAAATTGATTATATATAACATAGGTCTTTTGAAATGTATACAAAATCAATAAAAACAGCAATTGAGATTATTGTAATATTATGTGGTGTGATGCCATTTATATGGGAAAGGACAGTGACTTTCTTTAAAATGGATCCAAATTCAGAAGTAATTCTAATTTGATTATAGTTTTAAAGAGGATTAGCATATATCTTTGTGGAATTTATACGCCTCAAATTAATTGATGTTCCTAATAATTTTTATAACACTCATGTAATAGAGAAAAGATATGATCTAAGTCAAATATCATTTGCTCTTTAATTCAGTGATCTTGTAATTGAATCAGCATTGTGGGTGGTCTTTGTACCAATACTCCTCTATTCCTATTTATATGTGGCTGAACTTGGAGGAGATTACTTTTTCATAGCGGTATATTCCACTACACAACATATAGATGCAATTCTTTGTATTGTTCATGGCAATAGTGTCCAGTCTAGTCTATCCTAATTATATTCAACCTCTATTCAATGAATTTGAAGAACTCAAAGAAACTCAACTTAAATAAGCCATTAGTCAATTAGCATTAAGAATGAATTTCCCATTAGAAAAGATTCTTGTTATGGATGGATCCAAGAGATCAGATCATTCAAATGCTTACTTTTTTGGAATGTACAGTAAAAGAATAGTACTCTATGACACTCTAATTAATAATCTAACAAATGAGGAAATAGTAGCTGTAGTAGCACATGAATTGGGACATTGGAAATATAAACATCCCTATATCAAATTATTATTCTTTTGTATTAAAAGTAAATATTCAAAATATATTTAATAATAGTTCTAATTACATTTTACATATTTGGTTTTTATAGAGATTCAGATGTAGTATTTTTGAGTTTTGGGTTTAATGAGAAATCCATTTTTATAGGTTCTGCATTGTTCTTCTCTCTCTTTGAACCCATGAATACATTGTTTCAAATATTTGAACTACATTTATCCCGTTTCTTTGAATATTAGGCAGATATTTTTGCTAGTCATCATGGTCTTGGTATATATTTGATGAGTGGATTGATTAAGCTCTTTAAATAGAATTCAACGAATTTAATGATAGATCCAATCTATCAATGGTACTATAACAGTCATCCTTCATTATTTGAGCGATTAAAATACTTAAATAAATTGAGATGATTAATTAATTACTTTTTATAATCATATTAATTATTTGACATTATTATATAAATTATTTGGACAACCTCTCCCTTATAATCTTAATTTTATAATTCGTATTTATTTAATGAACAATAAACTTGCTGATTTAATTAGTAACTATCTTAATGAATAGAAACATTTAACAGATAAATATACTAAACTATTCAATCAAATCAAACAATCTGATACCTATTATGGTCGTAATTCAAATTCTATTCTAAATCTTAAGAAAAGATCTTCCAATTCAGATTACAGTTATAGTTCTAATAAAGAAAAGATTCATTGTTAATTTTGTGGAAAATAATATACTAGCAGATTACCATTAAAGAACCATATCGAAAAGTTCCATAATCAAGAAAATTATCCTTACAGACAAGAACTATCTACTAAATAAATCACTCCTTATGATGATAATGATAATTATGAAAATGATGATAATAGTTATAATGAAGCAGATGAAGAATTGAGATAAAAATTATTAAGGAATGTTCAAGCTATTTAAATGAAAGAATGTTAGACTACTACACATTAAGAAGATGTTATCATCAGTGGCATAGATTCAGATTCATAGAATTGATTTTTATATAATGCATTCAATTTGTTACCTTTATTATTTATGTAAACTTTCATATACTTTTATGAACAATTTAACAAGGATTTTGTTTTTTATACAGATGATATTTATTTATTTATGGATTTCAATAATATTTATGGATTCACAATAAATTGATTGTCCACTCTCAGAATTGATGACAAATGATGAAATAAGAGAATGGGCTTTTTCTTTGGATCCTTAACCTGAAAAGAAAAGCAAATTAAATTCATCTATTCCTTAAATAAGCAGTTCTGCTACTATCAATAGGGCTTGTTAAAAATAAAAAGAATAAAAGATTAAATAAATCCCTAAAATTATTTAACCATAACCAATTCAAATAGAAAATCAAAAATAAAAAAAAGAAATTATTCATCGTTTAAAACTTCAAAATAGATTAATGAAAGATATGATTTAACAACAAAAAGACTTGTTAGAATAAATGAAGAAGTCTTGAATTCTATTTTTAATTATAATTATATATTCAATATTTTAAATAAAAAAAAAAAATAACTTATGGATTAAGCCAATAAGTTGTAATATTAACAATAGGTTGAAAAGTACCTTGAAAGAAACAAAGTTTATCATATCTTTGAAGATTTACTAAAAGCATTGATCATTAAAAAACCTGAAGATCCAATTCAATTTCTAATCAATAAATTATAAGAACCTGAAAGTATATATGATACCTGAAATCAAGCCAAAAAAATATTTGTAGTTGGTCCTCCTGGATCAAAATTGAGAGAATTATCACTTACATTAGCAGATTATTTGAATTTTCATATTGTCTCTATTGGAGATTTGATTGAAAAGGAGCTAAGTAAAAAGTCTGAATTGGTATGCATCTCTTAATATATCTATATTAGAGTTAATAAATCTAAGAATCTTTAGACAAATTCTAATATGTGAGTGATGATATTGTAATTAATATAGCACTTAATTAAATCAATCATTTAGAAAATGAAAAGAAAAGTTATATTTTTGAAGGATTCCCAAAAACAAGAGTTTAAGGATTAGCACTTTAAAAAGAAGGTATAATACCTGATGCATTTCTTATTTTGGAAATGTCATAAGAAAAGATTTATCAATGTTGTATTAAGAAATTAGATACAGAACCTTTTAATAAACTAAACAATAAAGAAGATTTAGTAAAATCTCATTCTTTAGAATACTAATTGAATTTGAAATAAGTCAAAGAAATTTATAAGAATTAATATTTTTCAGTAGATGGAGAAAAGAACTATGAATTAGAAGATATGGCAGTATTAAAATTAAAGTATTTAGTAATTATTAAAATATAAACTCTATGATAATGCCCCTAAAAGAGCTCNGATATTTATTTATTTATGGATTTCAATAATATTTATGGATTCACAATAAATTGATTGTCCACTCTCAGAATTGATGACAAATGATGAAATAAGAGAATGGGCTTTTTCTTTGGATCCTTAACCTGAAAAGAAAAGCAAATTAAATTCATCTATTCCTTAAATAAGCAGTTCTGCTACTATCAATAGGGCTTGTTAAAAATAAAAAGAATAAAAGATTAAATAAATCCCTAAAATTATTTAACCATAACCAATTCAAATAGAAAATCAAAAATAAAAAAAAGAAATTATTCATCGTTTAAAACTTCAAAATAGATTAATGAAAGATATGATTTAACAACAAAAAGACTTGTTAGAATAAATGAAGAAGTCTTGAATTCTATTTTTAATTATAATTATATATTCAATATTTTAAATAAAAAAAAAAAATAACTTATGGATTAAGCCAATAAGTTGTAATATTAACAATAGGTTGAAAAGTACCTTGAAAGAAACAAAGTTTATCATATCTTTGAAGATTTACTAAAAGCATTGATCATTAAAAAACCTGAAGATCCAATTCAATTTCTAATCAATAAATTATAAGAACCTGAAAGTATATATGATACCTGAAATCAAGCCAAAAAAATATTTGTAGTTGGTCCTCCTGGATCAAAATTGAGAGAATTATCACTTACATTAGCAGATTATTTGAATTTTCATATTGTCTCTATTGGAGATTTGATTGAAAAGGAGCTAAGTAAAAAGTCTGAATTGGTATGCATCTCTTAATATATCTATATTAGAGTTAATAAATCTAAGAATCTTTAGACAAATTCTAATATGTGAGTGATGATATTGTAATTAATATAGCACTTAATTAAATCAATCATTTAGAAAATGAAAAGAAAAGTTATATTTTTGAAGGATTCCCAAAAACAAGAGTTTAAGGATTAGCACTTTAAAAAGAAGGTATAATACCTGATGCATTTCTTATTTTGGAAATGTCATAAGAAAAGATTTATCAATGTTGTATTAAGAAATTAGATACAGAACCTTTTAATAAACTAAACAATAAAGAAGATTTAGTAAAATCTCATTCTTTAGAATACTAATTGAATTTGAAATAAGTCAAAGAAATTTATAAGAATTAATATTTTTCAGTAGATGGAGAAAAGAACTATGAATTAGAAGATATGGCAGTATTAAAATTAAAGTATTTAGTAATTATTAAAATATAAACTCTATGATAATGCCCCTAAAAGAGCTCTTAGAATAGTTGTTATAGGACCTCCTGGATCTGGAAGATCTACATTAGCTAAGAAATTATCTAGTAAATATGGATTTGTATATATTTCAACAAGAGAATTGATTTCAAATTTAATCAATTAGAAGGGTACAACAGGAAAAGAAGCATTTGAAAAAGTGAATAAAGGAGAACTTGTAGAAGATAGAATTATTAATGCTCTAATAAAAGAGAGAATTAATTAAACTGATTGTTAATTGTAAGGGTATGTTCTAGATGGATATCCTAAAACAGAAAATCAATTAGAATCTTTAAGTGAAATGAATATATAACCAACTTTAATGGTAATTATTGATACAGCTGATGATATAATTATAAAAAGACTTGTTTAAAGAAGAACTGATCCAATGACAGGTATAATTTATAATTCAATTGATGATGCTGAAAAAGAAGTAAGACCTAGATTGATAATAGCACCAAATGAAAAAAGAGAAGTTGTTTAATTGAGGTATTATTTTATAATATTATATTTAGATTGAAAAGATGGGATGATTTGAAATAATTGATAGATGGTACTCCTAAATATGCTTCAATAATTTACAAAGTCTCAGGAGAGAATTCTTTAGATAATATGATAGAATCAGTATGTTATCATTTAGAGAAAATGAATTGATTTAATATTAAAAATAAATATAGATATTTTATCTTAATATCATAATCATTATTAACTTAATACTTCTTAAGCTTGTTTTTTTAATAATTTCTTCAATTCCTCAGGTACTTTAGTTACTTCCTCTTCTTCTTCTGTAATAGGATAAAGTTTAAAGCGAGGATCACCATATTTTGTGATACTAATTTCACTCTTATCACAATCAAAGTAAAAGCTTAATGTGAAATCAATTTATTAAGCTCCCTCCTTTGTACATGGTATAACTGCATATCTACCATTACTTAATGAGATATCATTAGTGTCGATTTCTCTTCTCAAATTCAACTTACCAGAAGAAGCTACTATCTTTTTATCATCAAATTTTTGTAAACATTTTTCAGTTTGTCCTATTGAAAATACACAAAGTAATATTGGTTTCATCACATTTGGGAATGGATATCTTTCTCCCAAAAACAAACGTCCTATTATTATAATTAATTGTTTTTACCATCAGTCTATTACATTTATATATACATATTAGTTTTGTCTCCTTTCTTTCTTTTCAAGTCAAGAATGTATTATGGATTTTTTTGGGCATATTAAATTAATGAAGCCTCATTCTTCATTGGAGCTCCTGAACTCTAAAGTCCAAATTAATCGAATGCTCTCAATCCACTCCAATCTTTAGGAAAGTCACTATTAATTTATTGATATATTTATACATGCATTAAAATAAATTAGAAAACACAGTTCTCCAACTTTTGAAACACATAAAAAATGTACCATCATCTTATCCATAAACATATGGTTCTGGAGGTTCTTTACCTTCTGATTTAGCCTTTTCAATTTCCTTTTAATAATAATCATTAATCCAATCAATCCATTTATCTAATTTAGCAGAATAATCAGGATTTTCTGACCATTTTAATTTCCATTCTCCATATCCCCAAGGATTTCTTATTTTTAATAATCTATGTGATTTATGATAGTTATTGCAACTCTAATCAGGTATTTCAAACATATCTAAAATACCATAAGCATGTCCACTCATAACACCTGTATCTTCATCATTTATTTTTATATATAATTCAGTTCCTCCTTCAGCACTACATCCCAACATTGTTCCATCCTTTTTGCATTTTAATAAAAGATTCCATAAGTCTTCCTTTTCAGCTTTTGTACATTCTTCACTCAATTTAATTTTGTCAGGTACCTTACCAGTCATATCTGCTAATCCTTAAGCAATATCTCCAGCTGTTAAAGCAAAGTAATTTTAATGAAGTTTTGCATAAGCCTTCTCAATTAAATTAACCCAACATTCTGTAGGCTTTCTACATTTACCAAATACATATTCATTATCCTTTACACATAATTTATCATCTATAACAACATACTTCCATCCAAAATTCTTAAAGAATCTCATTACATATAGACCATATTTCCTTAAAAATTTAAAACATGGTGGATAAACTCCAATAAGCATTCCATTGACTTCTTCATCTGTTAATTCTTATATAGATTCATGAGTAATAACAAAGTCACCTTACAAATATTACTCATATCCTGATATAATTGATAATGCAGAAACAAACCAACAATTACCTAAATATTTTGATTGGCAAACATCATTTGAAGCAGCTCCATCCTCATCAAATACATCAACATGACTATTTTTATATTATTCATCTCCATTCTCTACTAAAGCAGCCAAGAATTCCTCAGGTCTCAACCATTTACATTCCTTAGGCTATGGAGCTCCTTCTGGTACATCATTATCAGCAAAATACATACTCTTACTACCATAAGGATCTTCTTTAGTTGGTCCAAAATCTGGGTCTTCCCATTTTGTACCTGGATTCTATTCTAATTTTGATATTTCTTCATAAACATATCTTAAACATGCTAAATCTGAAGTAAATATAGTTGTCCATTTGGTTTCTTCTCTATGTAAAGTTTTTCCACTTCCTTCCATTCTGTACTTACCAAAATAATCTTCCTCCATTATTACAGGTTTTAATTTTGATAATGTTGTTGCATATTCTCCTACTGATTTAAGAGAAGCTCTCATTGATTTATTAAGTGTATTATCTAAATTCATTGTTTTTTAAGGAACATATATTAATAAAATCTTTTAAACCTAATCTATTATTTCTTATGCTGATAAAACTCCAGATCCATCAATATCAAAATAAGCAAATAGAGCATCAGAATGTTTTTTGGATGGACATGAGAATAAAATCTATGCCAATTAATAAAATTAATCTTGAGTCAATTATGTATCTTCATAAATTTATTCAGAAGCTAAATGTTAAACTATCCCTATTTCTAAAGCTTACAATTTTCTTGTTAAAATTTCAAACAATAAATCAAAATTATCTTTTGGTGCCTTAAATTCTTAAAAAAACACCATTAATTCATCATAATCTATTGATCCATTTTTATTTAAATCAATAGCATTAAAAAATGATAATTAATCACTTTTTGGAATCTTCTTATCAAATCTCTTATAAAAATCATATAACATAATTCCTGCACCTGGTACTTCTAATTATTATATAACATTTCTTATAAATTCAATAGCATCAACTCCTTAAGCTTTTAATTTTGTCATAATTGTTTGTATATTCTTCCTATCCTCATCTGTTAACATAATTATTGTTTCATTTAAAAATGCATGTGAAGATGACATATTCATACCTGATTTAGATTATCCCATTTATGTTTGAGTCATTCTAAAGGGATCCAATTATTATGAATTTTAAGATGGTTTCAATATACCTACAGGTTAAGCTTTAGGTATTGGATTTCCTCCTCCTCCTCCACTACTTGGATTGATTTGAACACCCAAACCTATATCAGATTATGCTACTCTCATTGCTTTACGAACTTCTTAATCATAAAATGTAGCTTAAAGTACTCCACTTTTATTAACATCTATGTGATTAAATACAGCTATAATCTCTTTTTCATTTAATAAACTTGATCCATCAATTCCATGAATGAAAGACCTTATGATAATTTACACAATTACACAAAATGCGATGGAATAATATTATCTCCCATTTTTTTAAGTGAATCTTCAACTGACATTCTATTCATCAATAATAAACGAGCATATTTTAACAGACTCTCTTAACCATAGGTTCTAGCTTAACCTTATACTTTCTCTTCATTTATTCCATACGCTTACAAACAATCATAATATTCTATATTACTTTTTTTATTATACCTTCTCTCTTTATCACTCCTGAACAATCCTCATCAAAAATTCTTACTAACATAGTTAATTAGGTATTATTCAAACCTAATCTAACTTTCGATAAAAATAGTCTCATATCTTCAGTACTTATCTATCCTTATCCTTCCCTATCAGATGCTCTAAACATCATTTCTGGAGTTAGTCCAATCCTTCTACAACTTCTTGAAAAAATTCCCATAACTGCTTGATTACTTAAATCAATTTAATCATGCTATTAATCCAATGGAATTCCTTGCTCTCTTAGTTTGTCTAAAAGCTCTTCATTTTGCTTTTGTAATTTTAGAACTTTTAATTTTAATAACTTCACAGCATTTCTATAATCTTCAATTGATTTTTATTTAGTTGCCATATATTTATTAAATAAATAATTAAAAAATAATTCACACTAAATCCATTATAAGATCACATAAGATCCAAAAGAATATTATCTATTCAATTACTCAAGCAATTCTAGAATTTACATTCATTTATAAATATTTAATTTATTTATAACTAATACTCATATATTTTATGATTTAAATTGTTTATTTATTAATCTAACCATATCAAAAATAAAAATATTACTTTTTTTAGAAATGCTACCAAGAAAACAATTAACTATTCAATTAGGATCCAAATCTCGTTAAACATCTCCATCTTCATAAGGATCTGAAACTCCTAAACATAAGAAATCTAATTCTTATATGTAATTTTCACCTAAATTGGATTGTAATAATGGATTATCATTTGTAAATGAAATCAAAGAAGTTAAAATTACATCTCCTAGAACTGAAGATCTTCATTCACCAAAATCATAACCTCTTAAATAAATTAAATATTAGAACATTTTAAAAGATGAATAAATGAAAAAGAGTCAATTTAGTAAAACAAAAAGTGATGATTTCATTTGATATTATTAAAATTTGAATTGAAATAATGTTCTTATTTATCTTAATATTATTTTAAATTTATTCTTTCTTACTTATCTAATATATCAAAACAAATTAATAAGCTCATTCAAGAGTACCTTAAAATTAAATACTTTATCAAATAATTTTAGGCATTTCTGAAGAGAGAGTAAATAATAGATTTACATTTTATTAAAAATTTTGACACATTGAAATATATTTATATTTAATTTCTAAAAATAAATATTTTAATGGTATAACAATTATGTAGCTATTTTATTAGATGTTATAAATATTTATATATAATTACCTTTACTTTTATTTTTATATAATTCATTTAATTAAAAACTAAGATCATTGTTATATTAATTTTAGAATTTAAAAATTAAAGTCCATTCTAAATATCAACCAAATTATAAAATATTTATAATACTAATCATGATAAATATAAATCTAATACATTAATATAATAAATTATTGTATTTATATCATTATTAAAAAAATCTTGATTTGTTGATAATATTAGCAATACTTGGGCTTTGAGCTTGTTTTGGTGATTTGATGGATGGCAATCTAAATTATGTTGGAGAAGGAGTTTTAAGAGTCCTTTTACTATGAGATTAAGGTGTTAAACTATTTGGAGAACCCATAAAACTGAGTGCTAAGGACTATCTAGTCACTTCTCTTTTAGACATTTAAGGTGTATTGAATGTACCTTACATAGTTTTAAGCATTTTTTATTTTGATAAAGGAGGTTTGTCTCTCTAACTCATGGGTAATCTTAAATGAATAAATTCTTATTCTTGTTATGAATTAATTTCTGTCATATTAGTTTTAGTATAACGATTACCTTCACTGTCTTTTGGATCCTTCTTTATTGATAATTGTGATAATTTAGTTTAGACCATTAAAGCTTTTATAATCTTAATAAATTTCTATTTCACAATAAATGTAGAAATAATTTCATTTGTGGTAATTGGAAATTGCTATTATTCAACATTTTTAATCCATGGATGATCCAAACATTAATATGCTGACATTCTATCATCTGGTTATAAAGCCATAGTTTTTTATATAAAATCTTTAGCCATAGGTGGAATGTTTTCTTTAAAATGCAAATCAAATTCTAATTTTGCTAATCTTCTAAAGTATTCTGAACTTCTCATTCCAGATACAAAAAATGGATGCTATCCATCATGAAATAACTAATATAAAATGATTCCAATTGCAAAAATGTCTACTGTCTAATTATATGGCACATCTTATGCCAATTCTGGTGCCATGTATAGTAATGTACCACATTATTTATTTGCTATTTTATGTGAACTAATTTAATAGCTAAGTCCAAGGTCAATCAGTTTAACAATGGATTTATTGTTTTCTCGAACCAAATATATGTTTGCTTAAATCCTAAATTTTTCTTACATGGCTTCAAATCACGATGAATAATCCCTTGATTATGTAGATAACTCAATCCTTCTAAAATTTGTTTAATAAGATTTCTAACTTTGTTCTCCAATAATTGCTTTTACATGACTTCTTAGAGAGTGATTCCTTGAAGGTATTCCATTATTATATACAAATGATTATGAGTATAAAGTAACTAAAGTATTATAAAAATACAACTTTATGAAAATGCACAATATTTTTGTGATTACACTTCTCCAATAGAGATGCTTCTTAATCTTAAGCTTTATTCTTATTTCTTTCAATAATCTAAACATTTAAATTAAACTCATTTACTTTTATAGCAACAGTTTAGTTAAGCTCTTTGCTTTAAGCTTTAACAACTTTTCCAAAAGCTCCTCCTCCTAACAATTCTATGTAAACGAATTGATCTGTTAATATTTAATCATTCAATTCATCAATTAAAAGAGAAACATCATTCATTATTAATAACAATATTATATGAATTTTTGTATTAAGTTAACAATTAATAAAAAACAAATTCATTTTTCTATTTTTTCAATTTTTTAATAATTCTTTTTTTTTATTATTATATATTATATATATATATATATATATAATTTATCTATATATAGGATAAAATTTAAAAGACCTTTTTATGAGAAGAATTTTAAAAGTGATAAAATATAAAGATAAATTATAACTATGCTATTAAATAGATGATAGATAAATTTTCATTTATAAAAGGTTATAATAGATATTAATTACTTCACATTTACATAAATAAATAAATCTTTATAGGTATAATAATTTATCATAGAATATTTAAAAGTTCATTCATCAATTCAAATTTTGTTATTCTTAATATTATTTATAGCAATTATCTTCAATATTAACTTTTTATGTTTTTCTAATGAAATTTTAGAAGATAAAATAAATAAGATTACAGAAATATGATACTAAAGAGTTTGACTTTTTTATGGTTAATTTAAATTTTTATTTACATATAAGATTATCTATATATATTATCCTTAATTACATAATATAAATTATTATGAATATTTCTATTCTTAAAAGCAATATAATATTAAATATTATCATGTATCAAGAGTATTTCCTAATCATTTGAATCATTAAATAGAATTTATTGCAAAGTAACGCTGATTTTATATTCTTTCAAATATTAATTCTAACAAAAATGTTTAATTAATATTTTTATAGTTTTTAAAATGAAAATCAAGTAATGAATATTTACTTAGTAAGATTCTCCAAATTTTTATTTATTTTAATAGTTTAATTTTTATGCATTCTCTATCTTAGTATCATTATTATGATACAAAATAACCCTCATACATGTATTCAATTAAATGATATACAACAAAATATATATATTTGCTTTAAATTTGAGAATGCTTTTAAGTGAAATCATAATAAAATAATTAATCTGTTATTATCATCTACTTATCTTGTTAAATAACTATTTAATATATTTTATATTTAATTATAAACATATAAGAATACAATAAAAGTAATTAAATATGATAAAATCAAATTTAGTTTTGTATTTGTAGGATCTTATTTAGTTTTTCTTCTTCTAATTATTGTATTAATATTAATTAATCTTCACTTTAAACCTAATCTCTTATTTTTTAGATTCTTTAGTTGAAATATGCAACAATTTTTTAAATTTATTTAGCTTCTTAATCCACTTATAAGCTATTTCTCCTTTAAGCAATTCTAATTTTAATTGAATCTGTCTATTGATTTATTTATTCTTTTATAAATTATGATTGCTATTAATGATTAAGCTCTTGTTATTTAATAAATGATTTAACTTATTCCCTTTCTAACTATAAGGAATTATATAATTAATTCTGTTTATTTTCTTTTCTTTATTGATGGTATGATTAACTGTATTAATACATTTTATTTATTAAATAAATATTATCAAATTAACCATTCTATACAAAGTGCATAAAATATTATATTAAGAAATCACTTAGTTATAAATATTTAATAGTTCCAAAAACAATAATATTAAAAAATGTTATAAATTATCATAAAATTCATATTTTATCATTAAATTTGTTTGCTTTTTCATGCATTCCATCTAAAATGGAATTAAGTTTTATGCCGATCTTATTTAAATAATTTTCAATTTACTTAATTAGTTGATTCAATTAAAGTTAAAAATGAAGAATCAAGAATCTTTAAAGATTGACTCAATTCAGGATCAAGTTAAATTAAATTTTCTTGCTCAATTTTCTATTCATTTGTTTCATCTTGATTTTGAAGATACAATTACTTTTTTTATTTGATTCTGTATTGCCCATTTGTCTTTAACTAATAAAAATTAAAAAGTAAATATATTAATTTTAAAACATTGATGCTTCTAATAAATATTTGAAAATGAAAACTAAATTCATTATTTAAATATATGCTGATTCTATGTTGAATTATTGAGATTTTTATTGAATTTCTTAGGATCCAAATATTCAAAAGGATTATCAAGACATTATTTAATAAATATATCCCAATTTTCTGATTTAATTTATTTTTACTCTGCTTATTTATACAATAAGGATACAGGAATTTTTTAAGCAGGACTAGATGATGGATATTTTAATTTTTAATTTAAGACTTTAGAATAAAAACAACGTTAAGCAAATGTTTTTGGATTAACATTTTCATTTATTTTTTCTGGAGACTATTCACTAATATTAGTTAATATATTATCTCCTTATTTTAATTAAGATACTATTCCTTATTATTAATTTCCACTTTCTAATGAAAATCTAGTTATAGTTGTCATTCGATTCTATGAATTTTAACCTTAACTAATTCTATGATCTGAAATTACAATTTCTGATTATTCAACTTTGTTAATTAATAAATTTTATAAATTAACATTACTGGGAGTTTAAATTGAACCAGATGATATTTTAGATAATTTTGAATTAAAAGCAGTACTAATTTATGGATAAAAGTTTTATTAAGATTGAGATGGTCTGATAATTTTAGAATTTAATTAATTTTGAATGATATTTATTCTTTGTATAACTAGAGAATGTAATCTTTCTAAATATATTGATAAATTCAATGATTAAATTGGTTCTTTACTCATTATTATAAGTTCTTATTCAAATTATATCAATGATGCTTCTTCTACACATCCTATACTATTGATTTATATAACTAATTCAATAATTCTACATAATCTTTGAGTATGTTCATATTACTTATTTTATAATATTTTTTTCAATTTTTTCAATTTGAAATCATTTTCTTCAAAGCAAATAGGAGAGAGTGCAAATGTTAATATTTTATTAGAAACCTAAGTACAAATTTAAGCATGAAGATCTACTCTATCCATATTAATGAATTCTTCACAATTAACACATAGAGCAAGAATACTGCTTTTTTCCTTAGTTTTAGGAGCAATTATCTAACTCTTGTTAAATTTATACATTAATTATAATAATGAATGAATTATATTAAAATAAATGTTATTTGAGAATACTCAGTGAATTCAGGTATTTAAATTTAATATATATAAGGGAATTCAAATTACCTCCAAGAATAACAAATTAAAAAAAGGATAGTCAACAATCTAATTAAATAAAAGATTTATTAAGAAAACCTACAAGTCATCGTAAAATGTTAAGTGAACATTGTCCAAAAGTACCTAAACTTAAAATAGAATATACTTATACTAAAAACAATTCACCTAGATTCCGTATTATTAAGAACCTCTCACCATCAAATACTACTAGAAGTTCTAGACCTACTACTCATAATAAAACTATAAGAGCATATCTTACTTAAACAAAAGAAGGAAAGTTTAAAACTTTACCATAGATTTAATAATCTTAATAGACAATTGAAGAAACTCCTTAATTGGAAATATCTTCTTGTTAATAATTTACTGCTTTGTAATCTCCCAAAGAAACTGTATTTTCAGAATTTTAATCTCCTCGTATAATGTAACGTTTTGATTTTGATCATTAATTTGTGAAAGCAAAGATTGAACCTCCAAAAAGATCAAAAAAATAATTGAGAATGATACTTTTAAGGGCAATTAATAAATTGAAAGCAATGAATATTGATCCATAATATATGATTGAGAATAAAGTTTTTTCTAAAAAGCCTTATTAAAGAAAAATGTCAAATGAATTTATTCATGCAGTAAAGTTGAATTAAATGGATAGAGTTAATGAATTGTTAGAATATAATAGATATCTTGTATTTGATTTTGATTTCTATAATATGACTGCATTACATTGGGCATGTAAGAAAGGATTAATAGAGATGGTTGAATTATTAATAAAGAATCATGCAGATGTAGATGCAGTAGATATATTACATAGAACTCCTCTTTATTTAGCAATATAGGGAAATCATCTTGTAATTGTAGAAGTAAGAATTTTAATTATGATTTTATAAGAATCTATTGAAAAACAAAGCTTATCCTTGGTCTACTTATTATACAGATTTAGCAGAAGTAGTATAAGACAATAGAAAAGTTTAAAGGCTTCTAACTCTAGTCAGAAGAGTAAGAATTTCAAATTACTTTAGATTGATATCATTAATACTTGGGGTGATAAGAAAGTTGAAGAAGATTGTATTTGAATATAGCTTAATAATTATATTTTCTTTATTGTTAAAGCAATCAACTTAAATTATTTTACTTTATTAATGGATTAATAAGATTAAGACTCATTATTAGAAATATCTGAATCTGATCATCTAACTAGTATGCTCATCTCTAATAATTAAACTGATATCTTTTTGAATGATTATTATAGCAAATTTAAGAATAGTTAAAACATATTAGAGCCATCAATGACTATGTCAAGAGTATCTCAAATAGATAAAATGTCTGAAGACAATTCTAATATTACTCATATTAAAGTAGTTCATACATCAGAAAGACTTGTATTTGAATTGTAAAAAAATTAAGTATGTCAATGTAATTTACATAGTTATTAGAAAATAAGTTATATTAATAAACAAAAATGATATAAGATTTATAAGAATAAATAGATTCCAAAGAATTATAATTACAAGAAAGTATTTAATTATGTGAGTAACTTTAATCATAAATAGAAAACTAAACAAAAATAAATAAATAATAATCTAAATAAATATCGGAACTTAAATTTGTAATTAAGTAATTATTTAACTATTGAAGTTCCCTTTCTAAAAAATTGAATCTAAATGATTTAAAATAAGAAACACTATAATCATCTATGGAATGTCTCTCTTTTCGACCCTCATCACAACCAAGAGGAAAGAAATCATATAATAATCATCATTCATATTCAACATCTAGAGCTTATTTCTAAAAGATTCTCACTGAAGATACACAAAATATTTCAAATGACAAAATCATAAAAGATAATAATATCTTATGTTTTTTGAATATTAAAAATAAGGATACAAAATAAATTGATAAAAATGATATCAAAAAAGAAAAATATTATAGGTCTTAATCTAATTTCTGGTCAAGTTTAAATACATCTCCTAATCCAAATAAAAGTACATATACATAAAATAGTATTTCTGCAGGTAAATCATAATTATCTGATAAGAAAATTGAAAATACTCTCACTCTTTTAAAAGCAATTAAAATATAATGCAATCAATTTTCTAACAATAAAAAATTATACTGATACTTATAGATATATATGTATTTAATTAAAATAATTAATTATCAACTAATTATATATTAATTTATTTCATTAAATATGGGTAATGATGGTGGAAGTATAGCTGAAAGAGCAGAATTAGTTAAATTAAAAAAACCAGAAAAAAGAGTTGAGAGTTATTTAGTTGCAAAAGTATAATGTTATTCTAATTATAGTTAAGAGCATAATTTTGTTCATTAACCAAAGAAAGATTGAGAAAGCCAATTGCTTGTTGTAGAGTTGGATATCTATACAATTATGATTCTTTACTAAAAGCCTTTATGGATAAGAAAATTCCTTAAGAATTAAAGCATTTATAAAATGTATATATTTAAATCTATTTTAGATGAAAAAAGTAAAAAAATTGAATATTACTGAAAATACAGACTAAAATAATGAGTTTCCTTTCATTTGTTCAATTAGTTAAAAAGCATTAAATGGAAAAGATAAGTATTTAATTATTTTATATAGATTCTTAGCATTATGGAATTGTGGTTGTGTATTTAATAAAAAATTAATTAAAGATCTTAAAATCAAAGAGTTAAAATGTCCAATTTGTAATAAACAATATACAGATAAAGATATTGTTTAGTAATTTAATAAATATAATTTTAGATTATGTCCAACTAATGAAGATGCAGAAATAAAAAAGGCATAAGTTTAAAAAGAAATTTAGTTAAAAGATAAATAGAAAGAAGATCAAAAATAATAATTTAAAGTCTTTGATGCAGTTGAAAATCTAGAATAATAATAAAAAAAAAAAATATGTACAGAAGAATGTAAAATGATGAGAAAAGCAATGGATAATAATAAATTATAAAATTTATAAAATCAAAGTCAAGATGTAAAAAAAAATGAAAGTAAATTAATTATTATTAATTTTAGTTTATTAATCCTTATTTCATTAATAGCATAAACTCGAAGATAATCTATTTACTAGAAATGTGAGATTTGGAAATAGATGAATTAATTGATTTATAATTTACAAAATAAATTTTTAATAATTGATTTAATAATATCCTATTTCAAATTTTTAATCAAATTTGATTATATTATCAAATATATAAAATATTCAAATATGATTATTAAGTAATTGATTAATTTGTTAACGATATTGATTATTTTCATCTAAATATATAAAATGATGAGAGGCCTAAATTTATGATAATATCTTACACTTAAATAGCTTTGTGCAGAAATATAATTAAGAGATGGAAATAATCTAGTTATTTCTCTGAATATATCCTCAACAGTACAACTTTCATCAGAAAATAAAAAATTATCACAAAAGTTTTAATTTAATTTCATAACATCTTTTACATTCTTAAAAAATGTTTATACATCTTTACTCCTTTTATAAATATCTATCCAATAAGTTATTGTTTTATTTTCTTATATCAATAGAAGAGTTATTGTCTTAATCTAACTTATATCAAAAAAGTTATTTTATTTTAGTTCTTTAACAATTTAAATTTATAATTCTTACTACTTTTTTCGAAATAATACTCTTGATAAAAGTAAGTACCCTATTTGAGGATGACAAGCTTTTCCATAAATTTCAATAGTATGTTCTTCTGCCATATCCACATTTGCTAAGGCTTAAGTAAAATTAAGTTAATTCAAATGACATTCAGCTAAAATCAAATATATATTTATATAAAATATATGGTTTGTTATTTTTTGTTCTTAAGAAAGTATTTAAAAGAATTCTAAAGCTTTTTCTGCTGATAATTAAATTAAGAATAATAAATCCTCTTTTGCTGGTTTTTTAGCAAATTTTTAATAAACTATTTATTTAAATGTTAATTTTGCTAATTATTAATTGTAAACTATAACTTCTTATTATGTATGTTAATGCTTAAAAGATTGATAACAATTAATTAATAATTTTCTTTCTCTTATAATCTCTTTTGCTTCATTCATAATTTATTAATCATATTAAACTAAAGATTATTTTTCTAAATTCATATTCTCTAAAAATATTAAAGATAAAAGTTTATACAAATATGCAATCTAATAATAATTCTTTATTTTATCCAATAAATTTAATACTTAAAAAAAAGAAAACTTAAATTAATGTATATTAGTCAAAATATCAATATGATTCAAAATTATTTCACAGATAAATTCATCATCAATTAAATGACAATAATAAACATCATTTGATTATTAATTAATCTAAGTTTTACGAACTAAATCTTTAGGAAGAAAATTTGATAAAATCCCTTGAAATTTAGACAAACTTTTATAATGTTTATTCTAAAAATCACCCCCTAATGTTATTTATTTACTATTTTCATAAGCATAAAAAAATTAAAGTACTTAATATGAATATTGCAAAGCAACATGATATTCTTTTTAATTTAAATAAATACGAATAAGAATATGCTTATTAATTGCTGCTATTAATGTATTATTATCATCTTAAATTTATGAATGAATGCTTAATATAAAATCTTATGCTTTTTCTTATTTTATAATCCCAATAGAAACTTTAATGTAAATTAAAAAGTTCTCATATAATTATTTCAAATGAATTAATTCTCTATTATTTTCTATTTAATTTAAATTATCTTCAAAATATTCAATTACTTCAAAAAAATTTTAAAAATAAAAGAAATGATGTATTAGATGTCTTGAATAAATATTAATATCATCATAAAATATAACATTATGAGATCTTTAGTATAAAGAATCATAAGGAGCTATGAAATTTAAATCTATTTTTTTGTTTGGTATATATAATGCCATAATGTTTAAATCATTTTCAAAATTTTCATGCATTTATGCAAATAAAATTGATTTAGTTGAAATAGATTTTTTACAAAATTAAATTAAAAATTCCATTTAATCATATTATTATTATTAAAGTAATATTTGTAATATCATTAAAATAATAATAGATGGTTATATATTAATTGCCTATTCTTTTTATATTATTTTGATTGTTTAAACTAAATCTTAATTTTGATGTATTTTTAAAAGTAAATAAGAATATAAAATTTAAAATAATTATTATTTCTTTAGATTAACATCAATTAATAATAGAGTATCCTCTAATAAAATTTATTAAATTTTCATTAAGATATCTCTATTATCTTTTTATAGATTTAATACACTAACTGCATTTCTAGCTAATTCTCTTAAAGAATTTTCAGTGTTTTCTAAATTCTCTATATGTTTAGGAGAAAATGCAAAAAATATGCTTTAAATGTGATACAATCTGAATTATAATAAACCATTACTATGAAACCATGAATCAAAAGGAATAGTAATTGAATGATGAAGTTTTTATAATTATGCAATATATGAATTACTATAAATATCTCTATCTATTTGATCTACTTGATATTTTAATTGAGAAATTCTATAATTTAATGGAAAATAACAATCCAAATGTAAAATTTATTAAATAATTCTTATAAGATATAGTTAGACTTTTAAGTCTTTTGGACTTATTTTTAATTCTTCATGCAAAATCTATTTATTATGTATATTTTAATTAAGATTACTATAAATTAAAACTTATTTCCACATATACTAAAAGTTAGTAGATAATATATATTCTGATTAATAAGAATAGGTTTATTCTATCCATTTTTATAATTTTACACATTCAAATTTACCAATTTCACATTCTTATTCTTTTTTTATATATTAGATAGGTATTTCATCAAAAGTAATACTTTTAAGATAACTACAAAAATATTCATAAGTTGGAGAATTCTCAATTCCCATTAATAAAAAGCTTTTTGCTTTTCTTTCATAAATATCATTTTCAGAATCATGCCAAATTACTATTTATAAAAAATAATAATAAAGAAGTTGATGAAAATATGTTGGATCATCTTAACAAAATTAACTCATAGAAAAATTAATTTAAAATGTAAAAGCATCTATTTTATTTTCTTTAGGTGACATTTAATTATAATTATAAAGATCAGGACTTAAATCTTTTAATTCTTTTGTTAATTCTAATTAATTTTTTGATTTTATTAATTCCATTTAAATTTCAATACAATCATCTATTTTTTTAGCTGCAATTGGCATTTCCATTTTAAAATAATGTGATAAACTATTAAGTGCATTAAATTAATTTTAAAATCTTCGAATAGTTTTTCGAAATTAAAATAAATTTTCAATAAGTTTTTTATTTAATCTTAATTAATTAATAAGTTAAATTCTTTCAAAATGTTTTAATTTTATTACATTTCCAGATTAATTTTTAGTAATTCCAAATAATGCTTAAGCTTCTTATTTTGTTATTTATTCTAAATTGATATTAATTTATAATTAAATAAGAACAAGATCTAGATTCTTAATTAGATCTCCTAAACAATTATAAATTATATCAAATTATTAATTTAATTGATTATTATGTTTAGTATTATCCTAAATATTATTAATATTATATATAGAATGATTATAGCGTCTTGTTTTAATTTGCATTTGAATACAAAATTTAATATAGAAAATCATTGTTATTTATATTATTTCTTCCATATCATTATGACAAATAGAATATTTCATAAAATTATTAATTATATATCCTTAAAAGGCTTCAGAAGCATTATTTCCACATTTATATATTTATCTATGTAATATCTATTCAAATTGATGTATGTAAATTAAACCTTTTTCATATTATTTCATTCTTAATGAAAAATTCCCTCTATGCAAAGTCAACTATAAATATTCAGAGAAATCACACTATTGATTTTCAATATTTTCTTATCTCTCTACAACAAAACTCTCTTAGAATTTCTCTTAATACTTTAAAAATGATAAAAGTTCACTTATGTTACTGCTACCATTAAGCATTTTAATTATTATATCATAAAGATCATGCTTTTCCATATCAGCTAAAGAATTTAATGAATTTTTAAATGATGTTAAAGTAATCATAGAAATAAGTACTTTTGCTAAACAAAATAAATCATTATCTGTATCTGGTTTAATTGCATTTCCTAAATAATAACTTTTATTATCTAATAAATAATTTTTAGTTGAAATATCACCATGTTATTCTCTAAGTAATAAAAGTAAACTATCATAAAAGAATGACATTATTTCATCATAACTATAATTTAAATGGTATTTTTTTCGATATTTAATTACATTTTCTAATGTTGTTATTGGTGATTATTCATATACTATTACACAATATCCTTTAACATAAAAATCATCAATCTTATCAATGTGATTAGATAATCTAGTATAACATTCACCCTAAATATAACTAATACCTCTATCCTCATTGATTGATTATAAGTATTTTAATTTCTATCCATGTTTCAATTATAAAAATTATATTAATTATGGTTATTTTTTTTCATTTATATTAGCTAACCACATTGTATCATTTAATTATCTAACAAAATTGATTTCAGGAATTGTAAACATTTCCTCTTCAAAATATTCCATCATTATAGATTATAATATTAATTTTTAAGTATCAAATATATAAGTATCTCTTACCTTTTCTATTACATCCTTAAAATAACTTGACTTTTTATAAGATGCTGAATAATATTTAAGATTTGTATTTCCTGCTGATAAAGGTATCAATTTAACATTACTAAATAAATTTAAATTATTACTTTTAAGTATATTATTAACTAAAATTAATTATATTTTATAAAGAAACCTCTTTAAATTCAAAACCTTTATTATTTTTTTCAAAATGTTAAAAGTTTGTTTCTTCTCCTGGAAATTATTTAGCTGATAATCTTTTTTAAAAGACCTTTATTAAAATTTTGGAATTTAATCTTATAGATGTCTTTCTAAATCTATTAAACCATACAGCTTTTTTAATTTTAATGAATATAAATTTTTAAGCATTTAACCATTTATGTTTATTATAATATTTTCTCATTTTTTCATAAATTCCTTCTAATTCTTTTATATCATGTTCTTCTTTTGAATCTTTTAATTTTGCAATCTTTTTTCTATAAAATTTTTAAATAAATTATTTTGCTTAAGTTTTTTATGTTTATAAACTTTTTAATATTATATTATATCTTAAGATATCAAAATTTTTAATAAACTATTTCTTTCTAGGTATATAATAATTTCTTTAAATTATTCTTAAATCAGTCCATGATTTATGATAATTAAGTAATAAATTGACTTTATGAAATACTTTTTAAATATTATCTTCATTTTTAGTTTTCTTCTTTTTTTGTATCATAAATTTTTCATAAAAACTAGAAGATCTTACAAAAATAGGTGTTTTTCTTACTCTACTTTTCAATTTTGGTTTTGAAATAATTAGATCTTCATCTTATAAAATTGGCTCTTCCATTTCTTCCTTTCTTATATAATATTTTTCTAAATCACTATCTGAACTCATTGTTTCAAATTATTCTACTTATTCTTAGAGTTTTAAACCATAAAATTTATAAATTGGCATTCTTTTCAAATTTTAATTATCTACAAAATTTATAGTTTTATTCTTTTTTTTAAATTTTTCAAGTGTTGATTTCACTAAATATTTTTATCTTAAATTTAATTTTTATAAATATGAAGGTGTTTCTGAATACCATACTTAATATACAAAATTTAATGTATAACTAAGTAGCATAAATGAAACAAATACAAATATTTAACTTTTATTGTCAAAAACAAGAGAATTAGATAAACCATAACTAGATATTATTACACTAGATAATATAATATATTATAATATATTATTCCAAACTTTGACAAAACAATCTATTTATGGCCAAGGTCTTTAATAATAATATAGATATTATGCTTTATCTGCATATATCTAAACTACAAACAAAAGCCATTACATAAAGTATGTAATTGGATAGATGTAGGCAAAATATGTTAAAATAGTTAATTCAACCATATTTTATTATAAGTTTTCTTCTATACAATTAAAATATTGATCTTTTTAATTAGAAGGTTTCTTTGATTAAACTTCTATATACTCATTGATATCATGTTATTAAAATTTGTATATAAACAAAGGTTATCTTCTTAAAGAATAAAAATTAAATAGAAAAACACATAATTTTTCAACACTCTTTATAATTATATAAGTAAGAAAGTAATATCCAATATATTATTCACAAGAATCAGATTCGCAAACTAATTAAAATGAATGATTAAAGAATCTCAAAATCAAAAGAGGTCCCAATTATTATATGATTGAAAAAGAATAGAGTTTTAAATTGTAACTTTATTTTACAGCCTAAATAGTACGTTATTATTCAAAATCAACTAATTATTAAATGGCTTTCTATGCATGATATGTGTATAATTTATTAAGAATTAAATGTAAAATAGCAATAATTATAATTTCAAAATTATTAATAGTAGGAGTTTTATCAAATAGAGACTGAAACCATGCACATAAAAAATAAAGAGCTATAAATATGATTGAGTATAGTAACTAAAGCAATATAAAAATTAACATAGAAATACATTCCCTAAATATTTAATCTAATTCATTGATTGAAGGTACATTCATTTAATCATTAATGAGAGATCTTTTAGGTTCTCCAATTTATTTATTTGAAGTTGTATCTATATCCTCTTGACTATTTATACCATAAGATTAATTGAATATTTTTAATTATTATTCCCATTTTGATGTATAAAGTGATGTTATCTATAATTAGCAAACAAGATAAATAATTTCTAAAATACTTAAATATTATTATAAATTAGATGGTATTTAAATTAAATAATAAAGTAAACCTAAACAATTTTAATACAAAAGCATTTAAGAAAAGAAGCATAGAAAATAAAAGTATGTACCAACAGATTCTCCAAAATATTAACATAATAAATCAAATTTCATTTTCATTGGATTTAATAAATGAAATTTCAATTATGTTGTAATATCAAATAATTTTTCTTAATAAAATTATTCTCTATTTCTAGATAAATTCTCATAAGAGGAATAATAAATGCCATATAATTCAAAATTATCATGTAAACAAAATAATTATTTAATTAAACCTTTCTAATTAAGTAAAGAGATATTAAAACTTTAAAATATATTTAGATAAGCTAATCTCAATCTTTCTGATGATTAAAATATTGTTACTTTCTCACCTTAATTTAATTAGTACTTTTTCCAACACATTAATTAACAATGTTTATGATGTAATGATCTATCTGCTTAAGGATTTGAATATTTAGTTTTCATATTTAAAGGATGATCTAAATAAACTAAATCCCATAAACATTTTAAATATTTTTTTTCATTATTTGCTACTTTAAGTGATTCTTTAAATATTTCCAAATATTTCTTAGCTAATTATTCTTTTTTTAATACTTTTATTAATTTTGTATAAGGATTAGTAGTTAAATTAAAAATATTCTTATATTCTTCAATAACATCATTCACTTATTTTTTTAGTTTATTAATTTTTTAATTCTTTATTTCTTCAAGATCTTAATAATATGTTTTATATAAATTCATATCTATGTTAATCTAATTTTCTGATTGTGCTCTTCTTAAATATAATTCTAATGGTGTTATCTATTTATTAATTAATGCTGCAATATCATTATTTATTAAAAAGTTTTATCTTGTAGCATTAATTTATTAATGTAGATGAGTTAAATAAAAATAATAAGCTGCCCATTCTTAATCTGAAGGACAATCCTAATCATCATACATATCTAATCCATAATTAAATAATTTCTAATTTATTCCACTTTAATTAACTTCTCTAGCTATTCTTTTGAAATCTATTTCTTTTATTAATTCAACTAAAATTGGTCTAAAATACATAAACATTTAAGATAGATTTTTATAATTTTAAGGTTTCCATAATCTATTATTTAATCTAAGAGGTCTATAACTTTTATCAAGTGGTTCAAATGAAAATAAATCTATAAACTAAATATTTAATAGTTTAAAAAGTCCTTAAGATTCTGCTTAAATTTTTAAACTTTCTTCTGTTGCAAACAAAGAACAAAATATATATTTTCCGTTTTTTGATAAAAACTATTGTGTATAATATCCTTATCTGCATAAAATTAAACATATCAAATTTCTTATTAAAGTTGAAAAATCTTTTGTATCTCTTTTTGTTCTATGCCATTCATTATCATATTTAATTAGGTAACCTCCTTAATTTACTTTTTTATTAGATAAGAATTTCAACAATTTATAATCTATTTCAAATGCTTCATTAATTTAATTCTAATCTGAATCAAATTACCAACTTCCTGTTAATCTATTACTAAGCTTTAATATTAGTTAATCCTTTAACTTTTCTTTCTAATCCTCTTCATTAATTGTTGCACTAGTTTCTAATCTTTTTGATTCTTCAGTATTTTCAAATTATATAAATTAATTCTCTCTTCTAACCTTCTATCTAAATAATTTCCTACGACCATTTTTTGAACTTTCTTTTGAATCATCCAAAATTTATAATACACCTTCACATGCTTTTAATAATATTTTCTCCTCTATACTACCTTTATTAAATTTTATCAATGTCTTTATTAATTCAAAACCCTCAATTCCAGATATTGAATGTGAATTTGATTTTCCATAATCAGGATTTGGAAATCTATTTATATAATAATTATGAACTTTATTATCGCATCAGGAAGCTAAGTCTCTTATGTTTCCATACTAAAATTACCCCACATCTATTGAAGTATATCAATTTAGTGTTTGTTTAAATCTATTCCCAATAAAAACTATAAAAAAATTTAGTATTTTTCGCATATATTCTAAATTGCTTTTACTTTTCTCTTTAAATAACAAGCTTCTTATTTTTCCTAATTTAAAGGATTATCTGTTTTCTCTTACATGGATGCATCCTTTATATAAGATTAAGAAGGAGTGTCTTCAGAAATAGTATCCATTACTTTATTTAGAGATCCTTTGAGTTAATTATTTTATAATATAATATTCCTTTTTTATAATAATGATATTTTAAAACTTAGATGCAATTCCTAAAATTATTAGAATATATACATTTTCTATTCATTTAATTATATGAATATAATTTATATTAGTTATCTAAAAACAAAAAATTAATATAAAATTATTATAACTATATAACGTCTAATTTTTAAGATTTAACCAAAAATAATGTAGAAAACTATCAATATTTAATATATATAAATCTTATAGAATAAATAAATAAATATATGTAAAGAAAATAGAAATAAGACTTTTTATAATCTTAAATTTACAAATTCTACTAAAAGATCATATAAATTTAGATGAGTTGTTGTTTTTTCTAGATTATCCCAAGTATTTACTTACATTTTGACTAGTCTAACTTTGATTGGTATTCATTTATACTTTATTAAGTTGAGCTAAAAGTGAAGGATTCTTTAATTTTATTAGAGATGTAATATCATTTAATCTAACTAATTCTAAATAGAAAATACCTATTTTGAACAAATTAAAGTTTAGCTTTCATAAAATTATATCTAAATGATACATTTTATCTTATAGTTTCTTCAGTTGCACAACTGAATTCTAATGTTAACATTTCCATGAATTTATATTCTAAATTTTCTATAAAATCTAATTTAGCAGACCCATCCTATTGCATAAAAAATACACAAAAGAAGCTAATTTATTTTTTTTATTTATTTATACTGATTAGGTTCCTTATGACTTGAATTTAATAGTTTTATTAACATTTGTAAGAATTATGGATACTCAATAGTAAGTTTCTATTCTTCTTTTATTTTTTTAAAATTTTCTTTATCAATTCTAATTTAATATAGTAAAATACATAGCAATGTAATTAAAAAATAGATCTGTTTCGCTAGTCAATTCTATTTTTAAATTCTCAAATGCTTATTGATCTCCCTAATATTAATAATAAGAAATTACTTAGACAAGTATTTTCACTTTAATCTATTCAAGAGTTCCTATTTCTTAAGGGCCAGTATTTGCATTTGATATTCTAACAATTAAATTTTAGAAAATTAACCTAGTTTCTATATTAATTTCTTTATTAAATTAAATTTTAAATCCACCTTCTAAACTTGGATCAATGTCTTCCAATACTCCTAAATCTTAGTGAGACTCGTCCATTTAATATTATATTTAATTTTTATTTATATTGATAAATAAGTTTGTAACAAAATTGTTTTATTTTATAATCTAAAAAAGTATTATGTAGCACATAATTTCATTTATTTCAGTTTGGATTCTAAATTATTATTTATATTACCATTGAGATGTAAATAATCTTGAAAATGATATTAATAATAGAATGGAATAAGTTCAATATCATAAAATAGTTATATATATATATCATTACTTTCCATGTAATAATTATTAATCTATCTTATTTCAAAAACATTTGTAGTAGCTAATAATTTTAATATTTATACAAATAAAAAGACATTTAAAATAATATATAAAAGTGCTTTTCGAATCTCTTTAAATTATATACTCTTTCACATTTATATTTCTCTTAATAATATAATATATATATATATATTAAATTAGGATAAATATTATTAGAACTCAATCTCTATCTGATATTAATAATATTTTAATATCATTATCCTTGCTGGTTAATCTATTCCTTTAAGTTAATGATGGAGAAAGAATAGATTGTATTTATCTAATTAATTTAACAAGATACTTACTTTTATTGTTAAGAGTAAGTTCTTGATACATTAAATAAATATTATTTAAGTTTTTAGTAATTCTTTTATAATTATACTTCCTTATCCTTCCAATTCATTAATTACTAGTTTAAATAAACAACAAAAAAGGAATTAGGCTTTATATACTTAAATATCTTTATTAAATAAGTAAGATATATTATCTTATATTTTTTATAGTAAACCCTAAAAATATCTTATAAAAAAGGATAACAAAGCTTAATACATAGTATAGCAATAAGCACTTAAAGCAAAACTGATTAAACATTATTTTGTTCTTATTCACTAACATATTTTACTGCTGCCAAAAATATTGTAATTGAACAAATTTAATCAGTAGAAATATCAAGTAAATTTAAACTTTTAATAATATATGGTTTGATTTTGAGAGCCAATAATTAATAAAATAACAAACACAATCCTATGAGTGAAGCCTTTAAAAATATATTGGATTCAAAATATGTTAGAATACTAATTAAAATTGTTTTTTTCCAAATTTTAACAAATTCCCAAAAGAAACTTTCATCATTATATTCATTAAACATATAGCAGATGTGTCTTCTAATTTTAATTAAATCAAGTTTTTTTCTCATTAGAAACATTAATGAAAACAAAATAAATGGTATTAAACATCCTATCAATCCTAATCCTGGTAAAATAAAAAAATATATCCACCTTTCATGTGATTATGTATTAAATTATAGTGAGACATTTCCTTAAATGTATTCAATATTTGAGATTTTCCTTTTTGCTAATAATGAAAAGAATCTAAATTTAAACAAAATATTACTATTTAATTATTGCAGCAAAATTGGAAAGATAAAGATAAAGAGCTGTATTTGATACAATACTTTTATTAAATTTATTTTTAGTAGCTATAGAATGAACTTTGAAACTTCCACAAATTAATAGTAATTGAACAAATATTAGAATAAATTAAGTTATAATTCTTGAATAATTAACTTATATATCTTATATTTGTATCAGATAACAATCTAAACTATTTGCCATAAAAAAAGAAGTATTACATGCTTAATCAACAAAATCAAAAGAAAAAGAAAATGAAATATTAAAAGTAAAAATAATAGAGAAAATCCATAAATAATTAAGTAACATTTTTATCATAATACTTTCATGATCTAAAATAGTATTATTAATACCTTAATTTAATTTAAAGAGTATCTTTCCAAACTTTTATTTTAATTTTAATGATGAAAATAATTGATTAGATCTATCTATACTTCTTAATGTCAATAAAATCTACAAAACACCCCTATTTTAATTTAAGCAATTACCATACTGAAGACATAAGAAATGGAACTAAACCTTAAAAAAAATAATAGCATTTAGAACAAGATGAATTCTACAAAATTTTAAAATAATGTCCATATCCTTAAATATTGTAATTATCACATTCCTCACATAAACCACCTATATGTCCTAACACACAAAGACTATTTCCAACTCCCCAACCTCCTATACAACAATTTTTACATTATAAACATTGTTCAGTTAAGTCTGACAAAATATTTGGTCTCCAAAATCCTTCTAATAATTAAATTTTATTAGAAGTGATGTTCTAAAACTTAGCCTTATCAAATATTGAACATTTTGTAGCATTATAAGTAACTGAATAAAATCCTTAATTTGGTTGACATAATTAACAACCATTATTAATATAAAATTCTCCTAATTGACATTTGAAAGTTTTTGCTTTAAAAATGTATCTCAAAGTATTTGTATTTTATTATGTTGAGCAATTTATTTAAACTAAAAGAAGTTCATCATTATTCTTATAAGGATCAAAAGTAAAAGAAAATTATGATAAATCATAAGTACTAGTTTTTAAATTATAAGTTAATAATTAAATAGGTTTAGGATCTTTAATTGATTAATTACTTTATGTTAATGTCAACATTTATAAATTGCAAGTGAAATTAATAAAATTATTTACTTTTTCATTTAAACTGTTTTAAAAATACATAGATAACTCATAAATGTAAGACAAAAATCCTTCATTATTTGGATTATATAATTTGAAATTGTCAATTTGTTGATTACTAGGTAGATAAAGATAATTTGTTTCTAATAATTAGCCTTATTCTATAATTTTATAAGAATTTAATTTAAGTATATTTGTAATCATATTTTCAGTTATTTATTAAGAAGATAACATTTAATAAGAATTTACTGTTAAAGTTAAATGATGTGGTAATTCTACAATATTATCTGTTAATTTCTCAGCAGAATTCAATTTAATTAAAGAATCTTTAATATTATTTTTATTTATTTGATTATTTCCATTAAAATATATTCCACCTCCTTCTTTAGCTTTATTATCTAATATTAAAGAATTAATAATTCTAAAATTGTTACTACAATTCTCCATATAAATTGCCCCACCATGTTATCCTGCAATATTCTTAATAAATTAAGAATTTTTAATTTAGATTATTACTTATTTTGCATAAATGGCAGAACCATAAGTACCATTATTAAATATAAATTTGGAATTTATTATAATAATTTTATTTTCTAAGTTTTTATTTGCAATAAAGTTTAGACATCCTACTTAATCTATTTTATTTTATATGAAATTAACTTCTACAATCTTTAAAACTTAGAAACCAGATAGATCAAAATAAATTAATCCATTTAAATTCCCTATATATTTATTTTACATTATACTAAAAGATTTAAGATTTATTAAATTTTCATTTGAAATACTTTAAATAAAAATTAAAGATCCTTTTTAAGTTATATTTTAATTTAGATATTATAAAATTGATTAAAAAGAATGACTTGATGAAATTTCATTTGTTGATAAACTTCTTTAAATAGAACATTTATCAAAATTAAATTTAATCTGAAAATCTTTTTATTAGGTTATATTCTAATTATTTAATTAATATAGTGATATATTTTTTATGGCAATACCTTCTAGAAATATAGAGGATTTAATTGTTTTAGTTTATCCCAAATATAAAATACTAAATGAATAAAAAGTCTTAATAGAATGTACTTTGCAATTTTTAATTTATATCTTTTAAGAATCTATAATTTTTAAAATAGGAGAAATAAATATTCCTTCTGATATTAATTCTTTTATTATAAGTTAGCATCCATTTAAATTAATAAGAGCATTATCAATATTAATTTTATTCATTTCACTTAAACTAATTGGATCTATTTTATTGAAATAATCTATCCAATCTTAATTAGATTAATAAATAGATAAATTTTTAATTATAACTAAATTATGATCTTATTTTTATTAAGAAAATTCAATTTTCATGAATTGATTATTTAATGACAGACAATTTTCTAATATTACATTATGAATATCAATCTTATTATATTTTTGTGATGGTGTAATTGACAAAATTGAAGAACTCAATCTGTTAAAGACATTCAAAAATTATACATTTTTAATTTATAAATTTAACTGACTGTTTTTTGAGTATATACTAACACAACCTTGTGTCTCAGTTGATGATACTAGATCAACTTCAGCTTAAATAATATGGAGTGATTCAAACTTAACAATACCTAAACCTTAGGTTTTTATGTCAAAGATTGAACTGCTTTAAGAATATATCTAAGTGAATTGACCATAAGTAATATTAATATAGGAAGAAGTTATCGACATTGCCCCTCCTTTACTTTAAATAGTATATATAGAAGATATAATTAAATTTATTTCATCTTAATTATTTTAGTTTGATAAGGGAATAGTATAATATTTTTACCAAATAATGTAATTTAAATAGTTATGATTTTTTATTCTAATATATTAAATCTAAACAGATATTGAGTTGATATAAATAAATGAATTGGAAGAATTAGTTATTGCATTTTATTAGCATGTAATATTGTGTATAAACACATTACTTTATTAGGAATTAATGAATAAAAGTCCAGCTGAGGTTTATGATGGATCATCAATTTATTCGTTAAAAAAGTCTTCTTAAAAAAGAATATTTTCTAGTAGAATTTCTTATTATTTTTCTGAATATATCAATAATTACGAGAAAATACTACCTAAGTTTTGTTTTAATAATATATTTCCTTAAAATAAAGCATCCTTGATTTCAATTATTTCTTTAACATTAGGTTAATACAAAATATTTGAAAGTATATGAACTAAAGAAATATCGATACTAAATTAATTATAAATCCTTATTTTTTAAATTAAAAGTTTCTAAAATCCTGAAACATATAGTAATTATGAAGATTTATCATTACTATTAATACATTCAAATGAATAAGGTACTTATTAAACTTATTATAAATTTAAGTAAGTTATGTTCTCAATTTTAATTGATTATGTATCAAATAATTTAAAATGATTTAGATTTATTGATGATTCTATAGTACAATTTTGAATTAATATTTATTAACAAGTCAAACTAAATAGATATAATTATTCAGAAATTAGTTATCTAGTGTTGTTTTTTAATAATATATTACTTATTGTAATTATCAAATTATCATTAAAATCAAATTATTGTAAGTTTAATAATGATGAATTTGTAAAATCATTGAATTTGACATTTAAATTGTGAATTTAAATATCTTTTACTGTTCTTAATTAAGAATTATAAAATAAATATTCAGAATGATTGAATTGATTATAGAAGATAAATATGTTTTAGATTTATAGATTATTGGTTAAAACTAGTATTTTTGAATAGGTTATATTATTTTAAGAAAATATAATATTTGTAAAGTAAACTGATAGTTATTAAGTATTTTATACAAATGTTGAAAGTATGATTAAATTATTAAAAATAGTAATATCATCAAAGTAGACATGAATTTAATCTTCAACAGTAGAATTAAAATTGAATATTGTAGAATTATAAAATTAGCAATTACTAATAGTTATATAATTTATTTTTATATTCTGTTTAGAATTAATAAATTAAAATAATACTGTATTTTAAAATATACAATTATCTATGATAATATTCCAAAATTAAATTTAATTATTAGAATTTCCTAAAGTATGTTCAAATAGTATAGAATTATTTAAATTTAAATTAGTAAAAGATATATTTTATAAAATACAATTATTACTTTTAGTAAAATTAATTGAATATTTTGATATTTAATTAATATCTCCAAATATTGTTGTATTAGTAATTATTAAATTAATTGGATCTTCATAATTATCAAAAGACATATATGATTCAGACATAATATAAAATAACATATTTATGATTTATACAGTATCATAATTTAATATTCTTAATTTACTTTGGAATGCCTTATTTTAATAATTATTTCCTATAATTTGAATTTTTGCTTGTTAAATTGAAAAGATATTCTATTTAAATTAATTCTATATAATAGTTTCATCCATAAATTCGCAATATTCTTCAGAAATCAATATAAAATTGAAGATTATAATCAATTTATTTACACCTAATTAATTAGAATAATTGAAATTTATCTACTATTCATAATAATCATATTGAAATCCTTTTTAGAAAATGAATTAATTATTATCACAATTAACTTCAAACTAAGATCATAATTTATGATTACTTGATATTTAATATTGTCTATACATATAGAATTTTCACAATATTTAGCAATTTAAGTATAAGGATCAATTACTATATTATTATCTGGAGCTTTTTAAAGACATTTATAAGTATATATAATAGATTGATCTGTTACTATAAAATAAGGATTGATATTCTAAATTTGAATTATAATAATACTTTAATTTCTTATTCAGTTCTAGATTAGCATAACTAACATAATTATGGACATTGAATGCATTTACCTTATTCTGATGAAATTATTGGTAACTTATAATAATTTAATGGACATTCATTGCAATAATATCTATATGGAAGATCTTTAGACAATAAACACTATAAACAATCAATATCACAATATTTGATACAATTACTATAAGGATCAGGTTTATAGCCTAGTGAACATTCAAATGGTAATTCAACTAAGAAACGAAATGAATCAGGTTTAGGATACAAATATTGATTAGGTAAAAATTACATTAAAAAGCTTTAAATCAATTATACCCAATCATCTTTTAATTAATAATGACCTTCAATGCATATTTTAGAATTTTTAATAGAACATTTATAACATGATCCTGTAGTTAATGAAGTTGTATAACCATCTTCACACAATATACATTTGATTACTTTTTAAGGAGTTTATAAACATTATTTACAATAAGATATATATTTATTGCAACTAATAATTTCAGGAGCAATATTAAAATTATCTTCTTTAGATAGAGTACATATTTCTTATCCTTATAAATTTATATAAGATCTAATGCAATTATTTATGTATGGTTATTGATATTTACATAAACCTTAAATGAAATCAAAAATAAAACCATCTTTGCATAATGCACAACCTATTTGATGATATTCATTAAAATTAAATTATTCAAAATACTTATATAGAGTACATTTAGTTAAATCATTACTTAAATATTCAAAACAATATTAACAATTTTCTATATTGCATAATTTACATTAATAAGTTGAAGTAATATAATAAGGAGCAAGACATTTATTGATTTCTATTCCCCCAATAATCCCTGTAATGACACATATTCCATCTTTAAGTTCTGAAAAATAATCACATTTCAAGCATACTGTTTTTGATGCAGTATTCTAACAAATAAGGCAATTTTCCAATGCACAATTAAAACATTCTTTCTCACTTCTCCAAATTGCTAAAGGAGATTAGGATCGAAAACATAAACTCCTATATTATAATTATACTAATTCAAATTCATTAATAAGATCTTCATTTATTAGTATTGAATTTTAAATTTATCTTGGTATAATATCATTACCATCAAAAATATAATATTATTATTAAGTTTATAAAAACTAAGTGACTGTCCCTTAAACATCATTAAATATATTTGTTTTGCAAAATGGATCACTTGACCAATTTTAAGGTTAATAAATACATTCTAAACATGTTGTTATTATATTATTTATAATAGAGGGACTAGATATAAAGATTTAAATTACCATTTGATACAATTTTATTCAAATTAAAAATATCCTTGAAGACATTTTTAATTGTTTACATTTTCATTTACAAGGATAAAATTATAACTTTAAAAATCCTTACATTATTAATCATCAATAGTATTATATGGACAAATACAAGACTTTTGTTATGGTTTATAAATACGATTTGACTCTTTAGAACAAGATAAACAATCTTAATTTGTTGGTCCATCACATTCTTAGCAACTAAAATGACAATTTAGTTCAAGCATTATGTCATTATCAACACAATTTACAAAGGATGAATCTACAAATTTAACAGTTAAATAGTTATTGGTACTTTATAATATATTTCCATATTATAATTTTAATTTCATCAAATTAAATTAATTTACTGTCAATACAGATTTATACTAAAAATGAGTAAATTCTCCATAGAATATTATTGATATTGTTAATTAATTATCTTTTAATATCACTTAAACATAATGCCAAAGTTTGATATTGTTTATAAGATCAAATTCTTTTCTGATTAAAAATGGATCATTTTAAAAATTAATAGATACAATAGGAAAGGTATAACTATAAGTAGTAAAAATCAGTTAAGTTTTTAATTAATTAAATTTATAAAATAATTAAAAGGTAGACAAATTATCATCAGTTAATTAAGTATTTTCAAAGTTAGCAGATAATTTTATAATTTAATATTAAAACTCTTATGAAGTTTGGTGAATATTTGTAATTTTAATCCAAGTTTTTAATTAAAATGAATTACAATTAGGATATTAAGAGGGAAATATTATATTATCTAACCAAGTTAATTCTTAATTTATCAAATCTGTCTGCCAATTTTAATTACAAAAGCATTATTATCTAAATTAAAATGTGCTTAATGCAATATTTGCTGCTTATCTTGTAATTGACATTATATCAATTGATAATGGATATAAAATAAAATTTCCTGGAAAAAATGACATTGTTGAAATTCCATTTAAAATCTAAATAGTATTTTATGATGATATTTATAAGCCTCCTCCAAAAGTTAAGAGTAAATCAGTGTCTTTATATGGATACAATACATCTTCTTCAATCTAATATAATTTAATATCAGGATATTGAATAATTAATAATTCAAATCTTTTTCTCAAAGGCCATTAGGTAATTTCAAAGTAATGCCAAATATATTCATAATTTTTATTATCTAATTATACTTCATATTAATGCCAGTTCTCATCAATTGTAATAAATTGAATTCTTCTTACAATTGTTTATTTTTCATAGTTGAGACAATCATAAACAATTAAATTTAACTCTTAGGTTGATTGTTATACAGCATTATGAAGATGAAAACAATTACTATCTAATATTCCAATTAATCCTACTTAAGCTATATTTCCTAAAGGAGTATATCTGCTCCATAAACCATAGGCAAAGTAAGAATCTATCTCAAAATTGTTTAAGTCTATTTAAAACTGGTATGTTTCTATTTAAGACTCATCATTCATATAAAGGAGGAAATATGCAGATATTACAAACACTCTTTAAATTATTAAAATTAAAGCCATTGCTCTCATTTTTAATATTTTAAAAAATATCAATATTCATATTAAATATCAAAAATAAGTTATAATCAGATCCATCTTTTAAGTTTTATTATTTAGAATATTTAAAAAAAATGTTAATAAAAAATAATACTTAAGAAATGTGAAGTTTATTAATTATAAATATTTTTATTTAACTTTCATCAATATAATTAAATAATGTTTAATTGTTCTCACAAATAAATTAATATTATATTTTCAATAATCTACAAAAAAATTCAATCTATTACTAATTCAACTTTATTTTTTGGCTCAACTTTTTCATTTGATTCTTCATTAATTAGAATTTCAATTGCTTTTAAGGTATTAAATTAAATTTATCTGAATTTTTAATAGGTAATATATCTGTCTCTTTTAATTCCTAAATTTCTTATTATATTCTAAATTTCTATTTCTTTTTATTTTATAAAGGATTCTTTTTTCTAAAAAGTTTATCTTAAATTTTAGTAGATAAAAATTAGATCTAAAATTAATTAACTTGATGTTGTAACCAAAGTATACTTGCATAAATAAACAAAACATGTAAATCATTATCCTTATCATATTAAATTTATCCAAATTATTGAGTTAATTGTACCTCAATAGATTCCTTCACCTTTAAAGAACTTATTAAATACTGATTTTTATTAAATCCTTTAACCTAAAAATTCCAACCTCACATGAAAATAATTAAGAAAATAGATATATAGCCCAAATCACACAATGAGTAAAATTACTAGGTTATGAACGAATTGTACAAGTAGGGTATTATTTGTGTTTTATTGTAATAGGAATACATAATAACATACCTTCAGAATAGCTATTTGCTTATTCTTTGAATCCCATAGATCCAGCATCAACAATAATTATTATTAATGCCTAACACACTTTATTCTCATATGATCTAGTTTCTGCATTATCTAATTCCATAATAACAGCATAATTATAGAAAAAAATCCATAGTATAACCAGGAATATTAATTAATTACAGCAAAGTTGAGCAATAATATTTAATTATGGTGCCATCTTCTTTATGTTCTCAGCTGCAACCAGAGATTTTGATTAACCTCTATGTTCTAATCGAAATAAGAATTATCAATTAAGATTGCTAACTTCTAATGTGTCCATGTCTATAATGTGAAATTCTTGAAAAGTGAATTTCCTGAGAATTTTCAGAATTTCATTCCATCAACACCTAATATAAGTATTCGAATATTTGGTAAATAATAATTCATTTTAATCAATTTAATTAAAAAATATTTTACTTAAAATTTAGATAGGGTTTTAAGTACTTTTAAACAAACCTTTATGATAAATTATTATTTTTTATTATTGTAAATAAATCACATTCATAAAATCTTAATTGCTATTATTTTGATATAATTAAGAGGTTTATCGAAATCATCAGTTTCTACTTCACTAATCTAAACTAAAATATTCATTCCTTTATAAACTCTACCTAAAATAGTATACTAAAAATAATTAAATAATTTCATATTTTATCATTTAACCAAGGAGTTGGACAAACAGTTATAAAAAATTAACTTGCATTATTATTTGGACCTGAATTTGCCATACTAACAGTAAATGGTTTGTCATTTATCTATTCTGGATGGAATTCATCTTAGAATTCTCCACTCCAAATGAATTCTCCTCCTGTTCCATTTCCCTTTAGACATCCAGTCTATATCATAAATCCTTATTAAACTCGATGAAATATCAAACCATTAAAATAACCATTTTTAGAATATTGAAAAAAATTTTCAACTGTTTTTGGTATTTCATTTGGGAATAAATTAATATAGATTTCACCAAATGTTGTTTAAATAATAGCTTATCATCCAGATAAAGTCTAAAAAATTAGATTAAATATAAACATACTTTATTTTTATTGTCAGACATAAAACTTAGGCTTTATTAATTAAGATTCAATGGTTCATTCAATATATCTCTAGCAAAAACCCATGGTTTATCTGCTAAATCTTCAGGAATTCTACGAGAGAAAACATAAAATTTGTTTGATTTATGTGCACTTATATATAAACTTGGATCAGTCTCTTTTCTATTTAAAGTACTATGAGATTATTCATTTTAAGTATTCTTCATTGAAGGTCCTTAATATAATGCAACTCTCATGAATCTTTAACTAATTTCCATCTTCCCTAATAGTTTTTCAAGTTCCTCTGTCTTTATGTAAATAAATTTAATTCCAATAAAAGTAGGATATATCAATATTTAATCTGTTTCATCAAAACACATAGTAATTTATTTTAATTATTCAGGTTATTTATCTAAAACTTTTTCAATCAATAATCCTCTTTCGAAATCTTATTATTCAATATGTAATAGAGGATATGTTATTTAATCATTTTATCTACTTATAATAGCTTAAATTGATTCATCCAATATAATTATAATCTTTCCTGTTTGAACATTAAATACTCTTAATTTTTTGTCTGAAACATATAGGACAAATAGTTTCTATTTATTACTAACACCTAAACCATAACATTATAATTTATTTTGCATCAATTCATATAAATCAGTGTCTACTTTGCTAGAATAATTAATTTTGAATTCAGATTTTGCTTATTCTTATTTTGGAAAATCCTAAGTAATAGGATCACATACTTCCATTCTAACACTTGTATCAATTGTTAACAAAAATTAAAAATTACTCTGATATCTCATTTATTTAACAGGTTAACTATGTAATTTTACCATTCTCAATATTTTACCACTTTCAGTAACATAAATATCTCAGATATTACCATCACTGATCATTAATAATTATTATTGTACATAAGCTGTATCTATAAACTCACATCCATATGGTAAAATGGTAGTTTTATCATATCTAATAAATCTTAATTCTAAATATCAAAAATCTTGATTGTTCAGCTGGAAACACACTTGCCATCTTGTCATGTCCATCAGTTAATGTAACACAGGTGACAATTGCTGTGCGTGCTCTAAAATGTTTAATGAATTCAACCAATCTAAACACTTTTCTCCACATCTTTATAAATCCATCTGTTGACACTGTTATAATTATGTGAGACTTAAATGCAGATAACACAATATTAATGTTTTCTCTATGCATTATTGATCGTTCATATAATTCACTATATGGCAAATTGTACAATATAATATCCAAAATTGTTTATTATGGTTTTGCAATATCAGGACCTACCGTATCAGTAGATTATACAGGTATAGGTTATGTAACTTTAGGCTAATATATTATTCTTCTTGGTTTCTTTATTTTTTTCTTTGCTTAAACAAAATTGAATTCATCAATTTCTTCAGCGCTTTCTATTTGTAAATAATTCATAATTAAATATTAAAAATGAATCACAAATAGATAAAATTTACTCATGAAAATACAACCTCAAAAATGTCTCCCTTTAACTTTAAGATATTATATACTTCTAAAAAATATAAAGTAATTTAATTAGAATAAGAAAATCATAAAAATTGATTATTTTTTTATAAAGAAAAAAGTAATTTTCCAATCTATTTTAGTAATTATAGCATAAAATTTATTAATGAATAAATAAATCTTATTAATATAAACTGATATAACAGTTAAACATTTAATTAATTCAAATATCAAATTAAGTGATTATCTTTCAATTTTATTTGCTAGAGAGTATTCTATTATTTCAAAATATTATTAATAAGTAAATTACTATACTATAGAATACAAATATTTATGGCAAACGTCAATTATCAATTAATAAACATAATTGTTATCATCATTAAGATAATAAAATAATATAGAGATCAAAAAAATTGCCAAATAGATTATGTAATTTATGAAATAATCTGAATTTATGTTTAATAAAGAATCACAATCAATATTGAGTTCTTCTATATGATGATGTGACTGTTTATGATGTTTATTAGATTCCACTTTAACGAGGTGCTTCAGAAGCTCTCAAATTTGTTGGTGTTTAATTAGTTAAATATCTTATACATAAATCCTCTAGGTCTTAATATGTGATTTTGCCATCTTAATTTCTATCCAAAACCCTAATTAAAATTAATCATTTTTGAACTTATAAAATGAATCAATATCACCTCTTGCAGGAGAAAAGATTCTATTGAATGATTTATAGACGTCAACAATCATAGGTACTACCTCTACATTATCAATCTACCCATTTCTGTCTCTGTCATAAGTATCAAAAAGTCTTCTGGCAACAGCCTAGTTTCAAATAATTATAATACCTTTGCTCCTTCAACATCAGTTAGACCTAAATTAAGTGGTTTTTAATCTTATCCACTAACTACTTAAGTTCTGACCACTGATTCGTAATTGTTTGTGTATTGTTACATTACTTAAGATTTAAATTAATATAATAACGAGTTCATATCAAAACTTTCATTTTAGTTTTGGCAGTTCAAAAGGAGATACACTTTATTTGCTGACATTTAATGGTTTTCTCTTTGAATTAATTCCAAATCCAATTCTAGCTAAAAATCTTTATATGTGAATACATCCATCTCCACATCTTTTATGTACCTAAAAATTATATTATATTTATAATACTCTCATATAATTTTCATAATATTTTTTGAAATCTATATAAGTAATAGCTTATGGTGGTTTATTGGCAAACTGAGAAATTATCATATAAAGTTAATCTTACCAAGGATTCTTTGGACGATTTACGAATTATTGATATATTTTTTTCATTGCATCTTCTTTCAAATGATCTTAAATTACTTCTAATGGTTTTCCTAAATTAACTCTTACAGCTTCTAATTCAAAATCAGCATCTGTTTGCATTTCATCTCCAAATACATGGAAATACATTTTTTATTCTTTTTATTCTTTTGTTTCAATATCAAATGGAGATGTTAAACCAGTCTTATTCTTAAGCATATCTTCCAAAATCTTTTGACTTGTTGTTTATCTCTATTTTTTAGCAAGTGTATCTGTACTAACACTTCCATAATTTACTATATGAACATCTGATGTTTGACTAACACTTCTACCTTAATTAGGCTAAATGATGCTACTTTCATTTGTATAAGAAAGTAACACCTAACTTTTTTATCTACCAACTAAATTCATTGGAGATTCCAAACCTTTTGAAGGTTAAGTGGTTTTCATAATAGATATTGTAGGTCTTCTTATTTATTATTCTGAATCTGTAGTTTCATTTTTTTATTAAACCATAGTAGTCATCTTGCTATCATTTATAGTATTATCTATATTTTTATCTTATTTGACCTTAGTTGTTTAATCAATTAAAACAGTTGATGCCCTTGATTTTTACCTTTAAGATGGAGTCTTTTCATAATAATGTATGAATTATTATTCATTCAAAAATATTTATTCCAATTTTTTTATTTATTCTTCTGTTAATCCAAGATCAACTTACATTTTTTAGAATAGATTCCACATAAAAAAATCATCTGTTTAAGTAAATTTAGCAGTGACCTTTTCTTCCTACGACCTATAACTTTATCTCATCAAAGGGGTTTGAAACCCTATTTAAGAACCCATCATATTTGTGTTATCTTCCTATGAATTTATAAATGAAGCCTTTATATTTAGATTTCCAAAATTAACTTAAACTCCTCTATTTGCTACATTATCATCAATTTCATCATAATCTATTTCTCCAAATTCATCTTTGATAGAATGTCTCTATTTTATTTGTCTTGTTTATTTATTTATAAATTAAGATATTTAATGAGATTAGATAGTAGATTTTTGATAATTTTAATCAATTTATCCTCTACTTTTATTTGCTTATTATCTGCTTGATGATAATTATTTTTATTCTGTTTTAAATCTACTTGACTCTTTAGGTTATTATACTTGATTTTATAATTATTATTAAATAGGTTATTAATATTATTATAATTATTATGATTAATTCGTAATAATTTTATTGACTTTAGTATCAGATTAATTTTATTTAAAAGAAGATGTATTATTTAGAAGATTTCTACTACCAGATGATGGACTAATAACTTCTTATTTTCTTGGTGAATTTTTTTAAATAATACTATTTTCTTCATTAATTTTATTTAGAGTTTTTTTCTTAAATATACTAATAGAATTATTATCATTATTATTATTATTATTATTTATTATAATCTAAGATTCAGAATTTTCATTTGATTAATCTTCAAATTTATTTTTTGTTTTCTTTATTCCTATAATTTTTTCTGATTTTTCTGGTGATATTGATTATTCAAATTAAGAATCAGCTCTTTCTAATATTATTTTTTTTTATTTTTATTATTTATTTTTAACTTTTTTAGTCTTCTTTATTGAACTTGGAGAAAAATCTTCATCATCACTTTACATCTCTTCAAATTTTTCTAAGACTTCTTCCAAATTTCTATTAGAATTATTATTGTTTTGCATTTTTTATCTTACTGTTTTATATAATTCATTTGGTGGCATTCTTGCAATATCATTCTCTGAATTTTCAATCAAATACTACAAAAATGTTTGTAATAATTCTATTTTACCTTCAGCCTACAACTCACTTTAAATAATCATCATCAAAACTTCTTCAATTAATTAAGGTTATAATAAAACTTTCTATTTATCATTTTTAGCTTATTCATACATAATTTATAGTTCTCCTTTCATATTTTAATTTTCTTCTACAATTTCTTTTAATTGTAATTCTAATTTAAAAATCTTAGGATCACTCATACTTACTTAGATTTCAACATGACTTTATTTCTCATTTGCTTAACTACTAGTAAAAGTGTTATTATTTTTTTCATTTGCTTTTATTTATTCCATTTAAATCATTAAATTTAATAATTTCCTCTCTTAATCTTCAAATTTAGAAAACAAAGCTGATATCTTTTATTCTTTTTCCAAGATTTCTTCATTTTTAGTATTAATTAGATGTTCTAATTCATCTATTCTTTACATATTTTATGATTTTCTCTTATGCATCTATAATCCAGCATTCTTTTTCAATTAAAATTTCTCAAATTCTTCTTTCATTTTTCTCTCAGCATATTTTAATATTCTATCTGCAGTTGATTTTTATACACCAACAACAATTCTATCTTTTATTTCTTATTTCATATCTCTTGGTGGAAAGTCAAGTTCTTAATTAGCAATTCTAATTTATTCATTAATAAATATTTCATTACGTTAGAGTTCTCTTTCTAATGTCTTACCAAGATCTTATAATTTATAAGGAGCATTGCTTGCATTTATTTCACTCCATAATCCTTTAAACTTTAGAAACTTTTCTATTTCTCTAAGATTCATATCATTCTCCTCTTTAGCTCTTTATAATTCCCTTTCTTTTTCACCTAAATATTCTACATTTAAATAACGCATAGCATCTTCACCAGTATCTGTTCCCTTTGATTAAACATTCTTCCTAAACTTAGGCTTATTACTTCTGAATTCTTATTCTGCAGATATGAATTTAGACTTTTAAGAAGAAGATATACTAAAACTTTGAATTTCTGCTCCACCAAATAAAGTTTTAGAAGTTGCATTTGTTGAAAATGATCTTTAACAATATTCTAAAGGAAGTTCTGGGGGATTCTAATGTTTTCGTTGATTAATCTCTTCCACTTTTTAGAATAAAATATTAAAATGATTGCATAACTTTGAGATTACATTAGATTCATCATTCAATCCTTTCTTTTATAAATGAAAATTTATCTCATCAAAGCATAAATTTAACCGTTCTATTATCTTTTCTAAATATTCAATCCCATACATATTTTATTGTGCTAATTGTAGTTCCATTCCATTGTGTTAATGATTATTTATTCAATTCAGAAATTGCTTTTTCTCCTATTGTTACAATTTTAGTTAGGGCATCCATTTAATATATATTATATAAATAAATAAATAAATATTATGACTGAAGAGTTAACCCTTATGAAAGTTAAGTAGAAAATATTCTGGGCTGATTACTTTAATGAATAATATAAATTCAAGAATTTTAATACACGTAAACATGGTGTTACTATTAATAATGATTTTTTGAGTGTCTTAGCAAATAATTAATTTTTGACTGCTCAACATTTTGTATTTTTTTAATAGATGTTTTCATATTACTATGGAGAATTTTAAGTATATAATTTATATATATTTTATTAGGTACTTTCATTAGATTGTCATGTTTTCACAGAATTCATACCAGATGTTACTAATTGTATCCTTCCAAATATGATGGTAACTCAATATTAATATGATTCAACTCCTGATTCATTTTAAATGTTTGAATAATCATATCAATAAGAACAACAATAAACTCAATAGACTTAAAATAAAGGTGATTCATTTTTCTATAAGATTTCAAACATCTTTAAAACCTTAAATCCATTACAATTCATCAGAAAATCCTAACCTCCATAAGACCTTGATTAATAAGACAATTTTTCAAATCAATTTAACATTGGTTAATAGGATTAAATGTCTTAATAAAAAGAGTTATTGTAAAAATACAATTTCTAAGTGAAAAATATTACTTATATAAAAAAAGATCCAAAAGAACCATCCTAAGTAATAGCAAAAGGATAAATCAAAATTAATAATGTAATCTTACTTGAAAATGAAAAAGGAAAATATCAATTTAATAAATTAAACATTCAAATTGAAAATTTAAAAGCTAAATACAAATTCTCCTCTCAAGTTTAAAAAAACATTTTTAGTCTGTTTAAATATACATACATTCCTATTAATTTATAAAATAACCATTGGCTTTGTGCTATTGTAGAATTTAGTGAAAACCAAATATAATATTTAGATTCTAATTTTGCAAAATAAGATAATGTTGTTGAAGGTCTAGAACAAATGTTAAATTATAAAGGCGAACAGACTTAATGGTAAATCATAGAAGGCAGTCCAAAACAAGAGAATAGGTATTCAATTTATTTATATATATTAGTTTTGATTGTGGAATATTCTGTTTGATGGCCTTATATTAGCTTTATAAAACAGGTAATTTTATCTAACCCAATTAATATAAATAATAAGATATTAAGAGTTTTAGAAAATAATTACTTCATTTAGCAGTAATAGAAAGTTAAAGTGATATTAATTAAAAATTACTTAATATAATTTTAGATTTTAAACATCAAAATTGATTATATCATAATTAAAATTATATAAAAATAAACTATTATCAAGTTATTCATATTTAATTTTTTATCATTAAAAGTATATTAATGAATCTATTTAATTCTATTATTAAATAATGCTTTATTCTAATTTTGCTTATAAGTTTTAAATGTTTTCTACAAGTATGTTAATATTTTGATTTACTTTAAGAAATTCATATATCAAATTCGAAATAATCAATCTTGATTTTTGTTGTTCAAAGTTGTAAATATACTTTTCTTAGCATTTTAATAAGTGATACTTCATTTTTTATAATCGATGTACTAATAATAGATTTGATGGAGAGATATATTTAAGTTTTAATATAAAAATTATAGATTTCTGTTTAATATAGAGTTTAGACTAAATTAATTCAATAATATAATTTGAAGGATATATTAAACTTAATTTTTAATCCTTTTAAAAATGAATCCTAACAATCAATTAATTAAATAGAGATGCATGAGTTAAAAAATATAAGTAGATCTAAATTTTAATTATATTTCATATTTGATCTAAATTGTTATTTTTAACTATTATATTATTACTTTTCTAAGTATGAAATTTAGAAAAGAGCTCTTATATTAATATTATTATTATAATACTTAATATTAAGCTTTCCATTTTTATAATCACATTACAAAAGGGTTTAAAAGTGATTGAAAAATATGATTACATAATCCAAAATAAGGGATAAATGTTAAAAAAATGAATCAAATATTTAATTAAGTTATACATATTCTTAGAATGATTGGAAATATACACAATAATTGTAAACTCTATTTAATATAAGTATAAGAAGTATTCAATCAAACTTTTAATTTTTTTTTATTATAAATCAGAATGAGTGATTAAGAGTATGGAGAGGATTATGAAAATGAAGAGTAACATCAATAAATTATACAAAAGATAGCACAATGAGGAAGAAAATGAAGATAAAAACGAAAATTTGGAGCAGTCTAATAAAAATGAATCATAAGCTAATAATAATGAAGATGAGAACAATGAGTAGTAGTAAATATTTATATTAATTATATAGATAGAATGATAATGATGGAGATGATGAAAATCAAGACAATAATGAATAGGATTAATAATAAGATGATTAACAGAACGAAGAAGAAAATCAAGATAACGAGGGTGAGAAGGAGGAAGATTAATAAGAAGAAAAAATGGAAAAATTATAATAACAATAGGAAGAACAAGAATAGGAGGTTGAAGAAAGTTAATTTGAATAATCAATGGTAAGGTTACAAATAATTAATTAAGTAATCGGAAAAGAATGTTAATTTAGAAAGTATAGATGCTGTATCTGTAAAGATTAGTAAGGAAGAAAAAGGAACTTAAAAAAAAGGAACTAAGAAAGCAACTAAGACATCTAGTTAATAAGAGATGGTGAATTAATTAATGAAAAAACATAAGGAAAAACAATAGAAGATGCAAAAGAGAGAAGATGAAATATATATTTAGGAGAAAATAGAAAAGAAATAACCAAAACCATAAATAAAACCAAAAGTAATTACAAAATAAAAGTTAACATTTGACAAATAAACAAAAGCTTAACTTGAAGATCCATAGTTAAATAATTAATAAAAAGCTGCAATTTTAACTAAAGATTTAGGAAAGAAATTAGATGTTCAAGTTGTAGTAAAAGAGGTTCCAAAAAGTATGATTTTAATATTGATTATAAATAGAAATGGAAGTAAAGAAACCAGGAAAAGGAAGTGAAGCAAAGCCAAAGAAGAATCTATTTGATGTTAGAATTGGGGCAGGAATTAAATCTAAATTAGATGTAGAGGCAGATGACAAATCTTAAAGGGATAAGGAAAAAGAACGTAATGCTTTTCTTGAATAAAAAAAGAGAGAAAAGGAACAAGCAATAAAGTTTTAATAAGAATAAGATGAATTATTAAAAATTAAACAAAATAATATTAGAAAAGCTTAAGAAAAAGCTTTGGAGAGAGATAATAAAGTACTTCAAGTAAATACTGAAAAACAATAAGAAATTAAATAAGTTTATGAAGCTAAAAGAAAAGAATTAATTAAAGAGAAGGAGGAAGATAATAAGGATTAAATTAAAAAAGATTTAGATATTTTAAGAGCTTTAAGAAAGGAAAATACTTTATTGAATGATGAAGTAAAAACCTAGGAAATGAAGATAAAGGAGTTGGATAAATTGATTGAATAAGAGAGTAGGAAGGAGAATGTAATTTAAATAAATGGAGAATATTAAAGTTTAAGAAAGATAAGACTAAAATAAGGTTTGGATGATTTAAAAACAGAATTAGTGAGTGGAGCATAATCTTAAATATTAGGATAAGGGAATATATCAGATCCTGATATAGCATTAACAGTAGCAAATTAGATTGCCAAGAATGATTTAAAATTGAATGATGCTTATGCTCTTTTAGATGAAGATAAAGATGGTGTTTTAACTATCAAAGAAATCTAGAATAACATTTGCAGATTAAAGTATAATTAATTTTAATATTTAGTTTGAATATTAAAGAATAAGAAATATAAGAATTCATAAAAATGTTAGATAATAATAGTGATGGTGTTTTGACTGAATAGGAATTCATCACATTCCTTACTCCAGGTTTAGAGAATCAAAAATAATACATTTAGATTATGGGTGATATTAAAGATATCTTAAATCCTATTATATTAGAGGAGAGAAGGTTACATTTAAAATATTTACAGAAGTATTTATAAAAGGAAATTGAAGATGAAAATAAGAAGGAAAGAGAATAGAAACCAAAATATGATAGATTAATTAAGAAACTAAAAAAAACAGAGAAGTTAGTTGAATCTTTGAAAGGAACAACATCTGATAAAGGAAAAGTTAAATAATAATGTGATTTATTAAGATAAGAATTAAGATCAATTCAAGATAAAAGAAATAAAGTTATTGCTGAATTGGATGATAAGAAATTGATGATTAAAGAGAACATAGATCAATTAATGAAAGATCTTGGAGATAGATGTTAAGAAGTATTATAGATGAAAGAGAAATTAAATTAAGTGCAAACTTAAAGTCAAAGATTACAATTAAAATTGTTATCTATAGAATAAATGAAAAATAAATATAAAAAGGAGTTGAAAGTTAAAAATGAAATTGAAATATAAGGAGGATAAAAATAGAATGTTCTTTAATAATTAAGATTGAAAGAAGAAAAGATATAATAATAAGAAGATGTCAAAAATTTATAGTATATGCATTATGTAATAATTGTGTAAAAATGCACAAGAGGATTTTTAATGAAAAAAAGATTAACTAAAAAATTATCAGGTTTAAAAGGTTGTGCAAAAGCTTTAGTAACATTTATAGAAAAAAAACATAGGCATCAAAAAATGTAAGGGATTAATTTGTTAGAGGAATTTGTAAAATAACAAAAGAAAATAGAGATAGCAAGAAAAGAATAAGAATTATTAAGATAATAAGAATAATAAAAGAAAAAATTAAAAGATAAAAAAGCTAATAAAGTAGAAAGATTTATTGCTCAATAATTTGTTAGTACCAAAGTTGAAGATAAATTAAACAATATAGATTAAACATTATCAATAATTCCAAAAATTATTTTAATATAAAAGATTTTTAGAAAAAATAAAAGAGGAATCCCTTTGACAAATTAAGCAATAAATGTTAGTTTTGGTATAGGTTATAGTGAGAATTGTTAAATTTGCAAAACAGATTTAGCAGAAGTTATATGTAAGTAATGTGAAAAACCAATCTAATGTGATAGTTGCTTTAGATTGAGTCACAAGAATTACAAAAGAAGAAATCATGAGTTTTATTTACTCATAAAAAATAAATTTAGAGATGCTAATGGTATATCTTTATATAATAAATAGAATAATTGGAAAATAGAAATATTGAAAAATAAAATGAAATGGATGAAGTATTATCAAACTAATGACATATTCTATATAATTTTCATAATAAATTACTTTTTAATTTTAGTAATCGATCTTGTCAATTTGATTACCTTAAGAAGATCTTAAATCAATAATTAAAATCTATTAAGTTTTAATGTTTTTTTTAAGAATTTAATAAATAATAATATTTATTAATTCTATTAATTATATTTATAAAATCTATTAGTATTTCCAAAATATAAGATAAGATTAATTTGATAATTCAAATTTTGATCTGAATTTATACTATGATATCTTTAGGCTGTAATGATTACTAAGTTTATGAAATCTTTACTTATTTTTATAATCTCAGAGACTGATATATTTTCAATAACATTAATTGATAACTTCTGATAAAATAATACATTTTAATTTTTTTAATAAAATCTAAACTAAGGATTTGATGGTTTATATTGAAAGATTACAAAAATATTGAAAAGTGTAAAATTATTGAACGATTGAAGCTCCCATTTAATTTTTACTTTAATGTAATTTATATTATTTTATATATATATATATATTTTTAACATTAATGATAACAAAAATACCGCTAAGAATTGCCAGAACTCTACTTCCTATGAATTATTCTGGATTGAGATTATATATTTCAGAATCAATAATAGAGAAAAGTAGTTATTTGAATTAAAATAAGATCATTTATATCAACTTATTGAGAGAGGGATGATATTTGAAACTATGGTTTTAAAGAATACACAATCAAATTCAGATTAGACAGAAATTAAAGGATTTAAAGTACAAGATTTGGAAGATGACTTAAAATTAGAATTAAGTAAAACAGTAGGAAATGTTTAAATTTTAATTTGCATTGAATGTTAAAATAAAGAAGAAACCTTTGAAGAAGAATTATTAGAAAATTAGAAATTTACAGTATTAAATTAGACTGAAACTCTAGTTTAGAATTGCTAAACTACTTATTTGAATCATATTCCTTTTAGTATTTATTTAACTAAAGGAAATGGAATCATTTCTTGTTATGAATGTTCAGCTTATAGAAGCAAAGTATAATGTCATTCATTAAATATATAGATTTAAATTAATATGATTTAGATTATTGATGACATTGAAGAACATAAACAAATTCCACGATAAGAAAGAGGAATAACTGACTATATAGGAAGAAATTATATTATAGATGATACTGTAATAATGTAATAATAAATAAGTTATAAAATGATATGCTAAATTATCTTAAGACCTTTGGAATAGACTCTGAACTTGCATAGTTTGTGGAAAACCTACAAAGTGATCGAGAACAGGCTCTGTATCTGAAATGGTTATAAAACAAGATCAATTCTTCATGATTGACTGTTGTAATTAACTTAAATGTAAAAAAATTTATAACAAAACCAAAACTTTTAAATAATACCATAAAAAAACATATAAATTATGAGGATATTTAATAATAATCAGGTTCTTTCATTTAAGCTAATAAAGAATTGTACAAAATTTGTGAGAGAGTACTTAGTAATAGAGGGCTTTAACAATTTGATATTACGAATAGTCATTCTCTTGGCAGGTCCATTTGCATTGCCTTAAATATTTGGAACTTGAGCAATTAATATAGGTAATTCAACCTTAACATCATATGGAGGTTCATCTCCATCAGTAAATGAATCCTCTAGCTTTTGTTTTTTGGATCTGAAATCATTATTCATACAATTTTCAAGATGCTTAATATCTGGTTCATTAGGCAAAGCCTTTTTAATTTCATCTATCAATGTCAGATACATTAAAAGTAGTAATCCAGCTATTTTATCCTACAAATCTTGAGCTCTTCTATATTCAATTTCAAGAACTTTTTCACCTCTTATAATAGATACTTTTTCAGCAATTCTTGCAATAGCTTCTATAAATTCATAAAGATTCATTTAATAATGTTTTGGTGAAAATAATTCATCCTTTTATGTTATCATGCTTTATAAATAAGCTAAGTAGCATTCTCTTTCTGTTAATTCATCACAAATAACATTTGATTATTTTAAAAAGTCTCTAAAATCTTATGGTGAGATATAATCATATTTATATTACTAGGGTTTTTTACTTAATTTACAAGTATATTTATATAGAATTTTTATCATAGGCATTCTATCACGTATAAGAATATCACATTTTTCATTCCATAATCTCATCTTCCTCCAAGCCTATGAAGTATCGAATTTAGATAAAAACTCTTAGCATTATTATTATAATTATGATAATCCTTCAGTCATAGTTTGACACATTCCACTTCTAATGTATTTGTCATTACAAAATCTAACCAAAACTTCCATCAATTAACATCTTACTATCCCTTTTTCATAAGCTTAAGGGAATGAGACATCTTTAGCACCTGCTGTTGAAGTAAATCCAATATCTATATCATTTGGTTTGACTCCTTCTATAACATCAGTGGATATTAGAAATTCTACATAATCTGATGGACCTAAACATGGGATCTATAATATTATTATAATATTAATACAGGTGCAGTTGAATTTCCTGATGCAAAGTACTTGTAACAATTGAAGATTTAAACATAGAATTATTTTAATATATCTTTAACATCTTGTAATTCAGTTTCTTTTACTAACCTATTTATTTTTGAATTTTGATAATCAAATTCAAAACATTCCTCTATTAATTTATCAGTATCAGGTGGAAAATATCTGAATATTGATGTTTCAACTGACCATTTAATAGATGCAACATTCAAATATGGAGAAAAATCAAATAATGTCATTGTTTCTCTTGGTTTGGCTTAAACTAAAGGTACATATCTATCAAATAAAACTTAATTGGATGGTGATATTAATTCATTAATCATTTACATAGTATTTCCATCAACTAAAATTTCATTATTGTATAGAAATGGAATAGAAGGGAGTGGCTTATTTAAATATAAAATATTTTGATCTTCTGCAACACACTAGATTCCAAGAATTGGATTAGTAAAGAAATATTTGATTGATCTATTAGGAGGACACATTTTTACAAAGAAGAATTCCCCATTTAAAAAGGTCATTAAATAGGGTTAATAATCATCAAAATCAAAATGTATAAATATTGGTTCAGATTTTAAGGTTCCAGATTTTTTATTCCAATAGAATTTAATTTCTTACCATCCTTCACATATCCAACAAACATCCAATTTATTTATCATATTTATTTTTTATATGTTTAATTCAGTTGATTTTATTCTTCTGCTTCTATGATAAGCTAAACATAAATCTTCATCTGTTTTTAATTTATTTTAATCTTCTTATTTATCTTCATCTAATAATTTAAAATATTATGGTTATTTATTTAATTATTCTATTTTTTATTTTTTTAATTTCATTTCTTCTTTTCTATTAATTAAAAATCCATTTGAATTCATTATTATATCTTAATAATTACCTTCAAAATGAAATCCATAAATAGTTTCATTTTTAATCAAACCTTCAGCAATTATTAGACTCTATTATTGATTAAATTTATTATATCTTATATCAATATGTACTAATTCATTATAAGAACGAGACAATGCTTTAGCTATAGCCTAAGCACATTCCAAAGAAGCAATTGCATTATGAGACATATCAAATATCTTTATGCTTGTATTCTTATACATAGCTTTCCAAATTTAGATACTTCCATTAATTTAAAGATTATTAAATCCTAAATATAATTCTAAAAGTCTTTAAGATTACTTTAAGAAATTACTCAAAGCTACACTTGAAGATTCTGTAATTTTATTATTGCATAAATTTAAACATTACAATGTATTATTATTCATTAAATGTTTCATAAGAATATTGCAACCTTAATCTCTTAATAAATTTTATTCTAAATTCAATTTTAATATTAAATTCTTATTTATATAAGCCATTAAAGTATCTATATGTTTAAAATTTAATTTGCAATCTTTTAATTCTAATTCCCTTATTGTATTAGGAAAACTAGATAATAATTCCTTAAATTAAATTGGATCATAAATATTGTTATTTAATTACATTTTCTAAATACCCTATGATTATGTTGTTTTCATAGCTTCAGCATAAACTTTACAATCATCAATATTTCTGAGATATCTAGATGCATTTACTTGAATTAATTGATTTCCTTAAGTAGTCACTAATCCAAAGGTTTTTGGTACATAATTCTAAGCTAATCAATAAATGATAAGCATAATACAATTGTTTAACTTGAGATATATATTTTATGGAGATTATTAATAAACTTTAGCATATTCTGTTAATTTTTCTTTTTATCTAACGCACTTCATAAATTCTGTCGTTGTTAAATTTGGTAACTGTTTACTAGAATATATATATTTATCATACTTTCCTAATTTCATTTTTTCGAGAAAGTCATCATTATTACAAGATTTTAAATTAATAGAGGATCTTCTATCATTAATTTGTGATTGATTATTTTTGTCTATTTTTGTAGAAGACATGAAAATTTATGAATGTTAAGATTAAATTGAACTTCTTCTTATTTTCTCTGTAGTTTCATTGAATTCTTTGATTAAATCAGCATCTTTTTACATGAATGATTTCCAATCTTAAACTTAAGTAACACCAAGATCATATGATAATTGTTTTTCTTAACTTCTTGAATCACTTCTTTTGTCTTTTTCAATTATCAAAGGTTCTAATTTAGAGAGTTTTCTTGAAAGAATCACTTATTATTTTGTTTTGTATTATGATGGACTTGCAGTAAGAAACATTATACTTTTGGAATCAATTGATCCTTAGGTAGTGTCATCCATTATGATTGGTTTAAACTTATTATACATTTATAAAAGCTATTATGTTTAATAATATCATAGAAATCAAAATAAAAGTAAATTATCATAATAATTTTCAATTTATCTACTATCTAAATATCTATTATTTATATAGAATTACTATCAATCAAGATTATTCTATATCAAAATATAATTATAACATCACAATACTATTTTAAAAATAAAACAATAATTATATAAATGGAATAAAACGATTAGTTACCATTCAAAACATTCTAATTACTATAAATCTAATGTTAATTAAGTAAGAAATTCTTGAGTGGAAATATATAATTAAAATAAAAATACATAGGAAAAGATTTTGAAATAACTTCATTAAGTTTATAAATAAATGGAAATGATCCAGATACTCATTTTATTATTGAATTATAAAATGATACTGAAAATAAATTCTTATATTATGGAGATTTAATAGCAATTAAGCATTTTAAGACTCAATTATATATAAATGTAAATCATGATTAAAGAAGTGATCATTAAAAAGAAGCTGATGTTTGTTTGATGGAATAACCTGAATATTTTGTTATACAACCTCCAGAATAAGATAATACTTTACTACTTAAATATTTAAATAAAACAATCACACATCCTTTTCGTTTATTGTCTTCTGATAATAGAAAATATTTAATTTCTCAATTATAGAAAAATGATAATACATTTTAAATAAAATCTAAATAAAAATTCAATGCTAATAATGAAACAGAAGGAGTTTGGAATTTTGTATATATAAATTCTACTAATAATATATTGAAAATGTTTAATAGAGTATATAATCTACCAATCTATGTAGAAAGTGGAAGAAAAGTAATTATAAGAAATTTGTGGACTGGATTTACTTTACATTCACATAACAATATTACTTAATTAAGAAAAGCATAAGAAGTCACTTGTTTTAGTCATCCAAGAGATGGTAAACAATTTATATTAATTTATAGATAATGATTATTGGTCAATTGTTAAATAACAATCTAGAAACACTTCTAAATATATTAATTGTGATGATCAAATTTTTCTATAACATTTAAAAACTGCTCTATATCTAAATGGTTCAGATCAAGAATCATATTCAAAATTAGGTTAACTTGTGTTTTGTAGTGATGAACCTTAATTATTTTATACTTAATGTAAATTTATTATATTATTATAGCATTTGATGATTTTATTTTAGAAATGAATAAACCATTTACTATTAAATTTAATAATTATTTCTTGGCTCAAAGTTCATCAGCAGCTGAAAGTAAGATAGGAATTTAATAAGAATGTATATTTGTTTAGAAATAGACTTAAAATTGTTTATGGATTATCGAAAAAAATGATTTGATTTATATTTTTTTAAGACTTTTTTAGAAATTATATTATTTTATTTAACAAGAAAATTTGATTAATGATCGTCATTTTGATCCTTATTCATCATCTGACTAAAATACATCACAAAATTGATATGGTTATTTCTCGACCATTTATTCTTATTTCACCTTCACTTTTGTTTATTTCTTCACTTATAATAATTCTTATTCAGATTCATCATCATAATCAACAGTATTTCTATGATGAGTTGAAATCTGAACATAATGTACTTGCAATTTCTCTGATATTTATCTATATGAAAAGCCTAATGAATTAAGATGTTCAACCAACAACCAAAACTCCTATTTTTGATACGTATATGGTGAACTTCTTCTTCCAACAAGCTTCTATGGAGGAGGAGGATTTAAGTCTTTTTAAATAAATACTCGAAATATGGCATCAATATTTGTTTAAACTTTTTATTGAACAGCCTCAAATCATATATATTCTTACTTAATCTTAAATCAATTTTTCAATCATCATTTATAAGGAATTATACATCCTATAAAAGTCTATAGGTTTAATATCATTTGTATTAACATTTTTTATGTCAAATGGGAATTCTCCATTTTCTGGTTTGGGAATGAATAAGGGGCGGGTTTATTTTTTGCTCATATAAATATTTTATTATCATTTAATTAAGATGTGGAGAAATTTCATTTATATATTATTTATATTCCATAAAAATAGTAAGAATATTAATAAGCCATTCAAAAATTAACTAGTTTAGATAAAGTATCTTTGTCTACATCATTCAATAAATATTTATTATTATTTTATTTTTAAACCTAAGCAATTAAAACATAATGGAAATTCTATAGTATCTCTCATAAATAAGATTATCCAATTATTAAAGGATAAAAATTAAATACAATAACTTTATTTGATAATGTATTATCTAGATCACATATTAATTAAATTCATATTGTTGATATAGATCAAAGATACTATAATAATTAATTTTATGTTTACTGATTTCAATTTTGAAGTAAGGTAATATTTCGAATTATATTTTAAATAATGTAAAACAAACTTAGAGAAGTTGGACAAGAATATATGACTCGAGATATGAGTCAAAATTCTCTAAAATATCTATTATTGAAATTAACAATCCTAATATATAAGGAGTGTATTCTAACAATTATAGAGATAATAATGATGATATCTCTAGATTGTGTAATTAGAGTAAGGAACTCTATTATTGAAGAGAATACTATTGATCTACTTTTTATAAATATAAAATTCTATTCACCTAATTAGGTATTATTTTAGAGTGGATATTAAAAATGAATAGTAATTATACTTTAATTGATAAAATGTACAAAGCCAGCTAATCTAATTTACTTTAAAATATTATTTTATTTATCATTGAAAATATAGAATGAATTATAATCATAAATAAATAAATCTATTAATTTTCTTGTCAAAACCATTGAAAAAAAATAAATATTCTGGTTAGATAGCCTTAATAATATTTTTAAAGTTTGAAAAAAAGTTATCAAAATATAAATTCTTTATCATTTCCTTTATTATTATCAATAATCCATTTATGTTATAACATTTAATCAATAGTAATTCTGTTCTCAGGTTTTTGTTACAATCCTCTTCTAACAAAATCTTTAAGTGCAATAGAAAATGTTTGAGGTAAATCAAATTTATTCTATTATAAATATATTTTTATATACCTTTAATATATTTTCCATAATTGATTCATCATCTCTTGGATATTCTGAAAATGGAGTATTACCAGCAACAAGCTCATATGCAAGGATAGCCACTTGCCAAGCATCACATCTTTCATCATATCCTTAATCTTTAATTACTTCTGGGGCAATATAATCAACAGTTCCACAAAAAGTATTTCTCCTGTCTTCTTTTGATGGAATTTCTCTAACACATCCTAAATCACAAAGTTTTACATAATTCTTAAAATATTAAATAGAAATACAAGAGATAATAATATATTTTCTGTCTTCAAATCTCTATGCATAAATCCTTATTTATGCATATATTAAATAGCTGATAATATTTGCATAATGAAAGTACTAGCATCTTTTTCATTAAATCTCTTATTAAGTTATTTGTATTAATGTTAAAATAACTCTCCATTATTACAAAATTCTAACATCATATAAATATTTGAATCATCATAAGTTTATCCATACATTTTGACAATATTTGGATGTGATAATTTAGATTGTATGATAATTTCTCTAGCTAATTGTTCTTGCATAGTATGTTCAATTACAGTTTATTTTTTTATTATTTTGAGTGCAAATATTAAACCTGTTCTTTAATCAATAGCCATATGAACATCACTGAATTTCCCTCTTCCTAAAAATGAACTAATTTTAAGATTTAGTTTTTATTCTATTGTCTAATATAAACTTAATGTTTATTATGGAAATGGAGATGTAATTTTTTGTTAGATTGTATGAGAATCTTAAGATTTTCGGATGCTGGAATTATTAGTAAGTGTAATAATGCTAGTATTATTAATTGTTATGTTTTTAACTGGATTAGCTGCATATTTTAAATTTGTAAAAGTATTTTAGCTTAAACTCTTACTGAGTTCTTATTTTGTTTGAACTTTAAAAGGTGAATTTAGTTTGCAATTAATATTCACTTTTTACAACTTCAATCTGGAAGAAAGACCAGCTGCAGTTGATGTAGATTCTTTGGATAAGCGTTAATCTGGTAGTTTTTTAGTCAGATTCATACTAATACTATTTTTGAGTAAAACTAAATTTTCTTGAAGTATCTTAGATTTATCAATTAACTTATTCCAATTCATTTCCATTTATTCACGCTATTTTTTCACATTAGGTGATGGTTAACGTAAAGGTTAATGTTGATTACCTGGTTCTTAAATAGTAATATTTAGATCTTTGGATATTTTACGAAACGCAGTGTTTGTTTGAACAGATGGAACAATTTTCATTGTTGGGCCATAGACTATTTGAGAAACTGGGTATTGTAGAAATTGTTTGTTTTCTGAACCATCTCTTGATTGCATAAGCTAAGTTAGATTATATTGAATACTTTATCTCTAGATGTTTATTATTGTGAAAATAAGATAGCTGATGTTGTGCCAAATTGATTTTAATATTTGATTTGGCTTTGGTTTGGTTGAAACATTAACAAATTATATTATTTATATATTAATTCTAAATGTCTAGATAATAAAATTGTTATGTATGATAGTATATAATTGATATTAATAAATATTTAATGAAAAGACCATCTACAGCTGGGGTACCAAAACATAATCAATCACCTAAGGCCTTTAAGTTGAATTCAAAATTATCTGAAGAAAATCTATAATAGAAACAATTTCAACTATCCAAAACATTATCAAAATTACAATAAGAATAAAGAAATCTATAATAGCAAATGAATTACATAGAAGTACATTAACATATCCACAATCTAGCAAGAGAAATAGAAATCAAAAATAACATAAGATGAAAAATAAGGAAATTAAAGTTGGCTAGGAATAAAACTGAAAATCTAAATTAATTAACTAAATTCATAAATAGAAGAGAAATAAAGTCAAATCAAATAATTATAAAAGAATCCTAATTTCACTCGAAGTTAAGAGCAAAACATTCTTATAGAATATCTAAATTATTGCTCATCATCATTAAAATAGTAAGAAAATTTAATGCCAAATGAAGTTGAAGATCTCAAAGTAGAGATTCAAGAATTAGAAATAACTAAGAAATTATTAGAAGAATAAAGTGAAAATCTTTCAATTTAAAAGAGTTTACTTGAAAAAAAGATTTCATAACAATATTTAGAATTAGATTAGACTAAAAATGAGAAGAAAGAGAAAGAAAGAGATCTTCGATATTTAAAAAAAGAAATGATTAAATTTGAAGAAAAACAAAAAGAAACACAATAAAATTAAAAAATAACAATTAAAAAAAAGGAAGTTATTGATATTGATGATAAAAAAGCAGAAATAATAGAAAAAGATTAATAAATTAGTTAATAAGAGTAGATAATTAATTAATTGAAAGAAAAACTATAGGAAAGGACAAATTATGAATTAAGAAGTAAAAATGCATTGATAGATGAACTATAAGGATTAAATCAATAAGTATAATAAATGAGAGAAGAATTGAAAGAATTAAATGAATATTACTTAGCAGAAATTCAACCTTTAGAAACTGAATCATTACCTATCATATAGGGTAATAGAGATCATACATTTACAATTTTACATGATGTCTATAATAAATAAGAAAAGAAATTCCCAAAGGCACCAAGGGTTAGGTTTGAATAAGTTTAAGATATGGGAAAAGAATTAAGTTTAAGATTACAACTTAAATAAATTACTGTAAATGAGGCATGTGCTATCTTAATATAACCTGCAATAAATAATTCAATCAGTGTAGAATAATTATAAGAATAATTACTTTAAGAACCATTTACTATGGCTGATCCTAATGAAGCCAAATTAATAGCTAGATTTATTGTAGAAGATGTTAATGATGAAATTGTTAGTTTGGATCCACAAGCTACTGTAAAATTACCAGTTGTAAAATCAGTTTTTAGACATCTTATTAATTGCTATGAATTATTAAATTAAGAATAAGATAAATAATTATGGGAAGAGGTAAGTGTTATTGTTAATAAGTATGAAACTGCATTGAGAAGTTAATTCGATTAATTAAATAAACAATAACATGGATTTATGAAACCTAAAGATTTGTTTTATTGTTTAGATTAATTATTTTTAGATTTAACAGATATTCAAAAAGAATATGTATTATTGAGACTCTTTGCCTATACAAATAACATTAATAAAATAATGCATATGAAAATATTTGATGTTTTTAAAGCAGGATCTTATATAGATAGAGTTTCAAAAGATACTAGAAAGAAGAAGAAATAAAGACCAACTACTAAGAAAATAGAAATTTAAAAGTAAGATATTGATGACTTTGATTGATGAATATAATAATAATAATATAATTTTTAATAAATGGATGAAGCAGTTGTTTTAAAATAGAAGAAATTGATTGCAGGAATGGTTATTGCAGGAAAATATAAATTATTAGAAAAGATAGGTGCAGGTTCATTTGGAATGGTGTTTAAGTCTTAGTTTTTAAAAAATGGAGATTTAGTAGCAGCAAAATTTGAAAAACGAGACGATTCCCAAAAAGGAGTCAGTCTATTAATAAGAGAAATTAAGGTTTTGTCTGAAGTTAATGGATTGAAAGGTTAGATTTACAATTAAGCTATAAAAAGGTTTTCCACAAATCAAGTTTTATGGAAGGGATGAAAATTATAATTTCTTTATGGAAACCTATTTTGGATTGAATTTAGAATAATTGCTAAGGAAATGTGGAAATAAATTCTCTCTTCATACTACATTGAGAATAGGTATATAGATTATCGAAAGATTGTATGTATCTTGTTTGATTTAGTTAGGTAAGCCTTTCATGAAAAGAATCTTATCCATCGTGATATAAAGCCAGAAAATTTTACTATCAGCAGACAAGATGCTACTTAAATTATGGCTATAGATTTTGGTTTAGCTAAATATTACAGAGACACAGCAGGCAAACATATTCCATTTGTAAATAATAAAGGATTGATTGGAACAGCCAGATATGCAAGCATTAATGCTTTATTAGGTTTGTTTCTTATTTGATAAGGCAATGAATAGAGTAGAAGAGATGATATTGAAGCCATTGCATATGTACTAATATATTTTCATCTTGGAGAATTACCTTGGTAAAATATCTAAGTAACTTCAAAAGAAGAGAAATATAAACAGATATTAATATTAAAATAGAATAATGAATTAGATAAATATACTGATAAAATTCCTAAAGTAAAATTTCAATTAATTTATAGTGTTTGATGAAAATGCTTAAAATTTCTAAGTCTTATGAATTTAATCAAACACCTGATTACATGGGTTTGACAAAATTATTATAGGATGAATTAACAATAGATGGTAAAATGGATTGGGAACATTTATTAGAAACTAATAATGATAAATTGAGTGTATCAATTGACATTGATGTAATTGAAAATGATAATTAATTTAATGATTTACAAGATGATAAACAATAAGAAGTTTTAAATTCTATGCAAAAGATTGCATAATAATAAACTAAATTTATTGATGGTAGATTAAATAATAGTAGAAATAATATCATTTTTTTAAAAGTTCCAAAGAATAGTATCGTTTTAAATGATGCTTAAAGTCCAGCTGGAACTATTAAATCATTTAATACTTCTAAACTTAATCATTATTGTGGTAGTAACATTAACTTTAATACATAAAAATAATTCAGTGATTTAAGAGTTAAGTCATGTGAAAACTTTTAGTATAATGATGATGATAATTATGATGCAGATTCTGACGATTAACCTTGCATATTATTTAAAAATTTAGTTGTTGGTCGTTCTTCTTCTAAAATGTGAATTGATATATATATATATTTATCAAATTTTACGCATTTTACAAATTATATAAACAAATATAATAATATTATTATAAGATTTTGATTGATGTTATGTAAATCTTTAAGAAAATAAGTATTCATATTTCTAATTTATTATAAGTAATGAAATTATTTCAATTATGAAATATTAATAGTTGATAAACCAATGGATTGATAAATTTTTATATAATAGAGATATATACTTTTTTTAATTAACATCTATTATAATTTATTAAATTATCTTTAATAACATTGTATATAGATTAATATTATTATATACATCAACAACAACTTTTGTTTTCATCATTTTTTATATCAGATTTTTCTTATGGTTGATGAAGCTTCTTAACACTTAAATCAGTTTAATTCAGAGCAGGTAATTTAGATTCATTATTGGCACCTCCATTAATATGGTTCAAGAATACTAATTTAGCTGTTTCAGTGAATGCCTCATTATTTAAGTAGTCTATACCTCTTCTACATTTTCTCTTGTTTTTGAAGATGTTTCAAAAAAGAAATTAACACCATTTGTTTCCATCCAATATTTACCTTCTTCATATGATACTTCTCGTCTATTGGTATTAATAATGAAATATACTCTGATTCTCTATCATTTTAAGCACCTACTAAAACTGTAATAATAGATGGAGAGGAATGATCCTTAGCCTCTTTTAACCATGAATCGAGTCTTTCAAGAGATTATTTACTAAGAAATATGAATTTGAATATAATACTTGGTTATGCTATAGACTAAGAAAACTGCAGCAACTTTTCTATAAAATGATCTGACAACAGATCTAAAAGATTCTTGACCAGCAGTATCCCATATTTATAGTTTCACTTAAGTATTTTAATCAACATTAACAATTTTAGATAAGAATTCTACTCCAATGGTCACATTGTACTCTGTAGTAAAATTATCTTTCATATATCTCATTAATAAACATGATTTTCCAACTCCTTAAAAAACTATAGATTATTATAAATTACCTGCATCTCCAATGATAATAAATTTGAACAAAGGTGATTTATCAAGTGAATTCATTTATAAATTTTATTAAGAAAATATTACAAAAAGAAAGGTATATAGAATGATAATAAAAGTTTTATATAGTTAATAACTTGGAATAGGTTATTGTATTAAAGATGATTCAATAAACATTTTGATTAAAAGACATTGTGGTATAAAAATAAAGGGTCATTATTTTATAAGTTTATTTGAAATCTATTATCTTTTAAATTATAAGGAATGTATGGTATGTTAATATAATGAAGAATTGAAAGAGTAATATGATTTTGATAAGTATTATTGGATAAATGATCCTGTAGATTTTTTAAATATATTAAAACCAGATGTTAATAGATTATGTTCATATATGTATATAAGAAATATGGATCATTATTTAAGATGTTAATTATCAATAGAATAAATGGAGAAAATAAATTAATAAATCAAAAATTTACCAAGAAAGAAAATAATTGAAGATGAATAATATTAAAATAAGAATTGTGAATTTTTATTTTATAAAGTTATAAGTGATTATAAAAATAATGTGAGAGGAATGAAATTATCATTAGTTTTATTTAAAGATTAAGTAGATGAAGAAATAGTTAAAAATGCAGATATAATTGGTTTAATGGAAAATGGAGAAGTGAAATTAATTATGTTGGAAGATATGTGATCATTATTCTTTGATGTGATATTATGATTCTTTTTATAAAACATGTAATAGAGTTTTGAGACTCTCTACAATCTTATTTTTAGTATGTTCAGTTTCTTAGATTGTCTTTTCTAATTCTCTCTTTTCTGTAGCTGTTCTCATTATTGTTTCTATATTAATATTATTAAATCATTTATATATACCATTAACACGATCTAATCTTTCTGAAAGTATTTCTAATTCTTTTTCAATACGTCTTCTTTCTTCTTCTTCTTCATAAATTTCATTCTTGAGTTCTTCTTTCTTCTCTCTTAAATCTTCCAATGTTCCAATTAATTCTGCAACCAAGTTTTAATAATTTGACATCTAAGAATTTGAATTTATATTATGTTATATATTAATAATTATTTAGATATATAAATAATGTATATTTCATTACTATTGATTGGAATTGTAAAAGTGATGGCTGACAATTTTGGATTCATAGTATAATCAGGAGAATAGTAGTGTCTATAGGATCAATTATTGAAAGGATAGATGATGGCATTATAGATTATTGCTAACTCGACTGAGTTCGAGTTTACAGTGGAGGTACACACTTAATTCCCAATCGTGAAAGCAAGGCCAAAAAGATCCGTAGTAGATTGAGTCCCGTAAAAATGAGATCCTCATTAAGTACACTTTGACTATGTGGAGCAATGAATACCTGAAATATTGCTTTAGAGTATTTGGATCAAAAAACGCAAAGTTTGATATCACTTATAAGAAAGGGGATGAAACTGTAGATCGAGAATAGATGGCCAATAAAGAAGATTTAGATTTAATTGATGGATATTTAAAACAATTAGATAGAGTTTATGCTTAAATGAAAGATTTAAATAGATTCTAAAAAGGTTCATAAGAGAACAATTAAGGTTTGGGAGAAACCATAGGATTATAGATGACTACCTTTACAATGTTAACTTTGTTAACTCTTTGTATATCTACATATGTTATGGTTAAACAAATCAAAGTGACAATAAGAAAATAAAAAGAAAAATGATATATTTTTAAATAAGTATGCTCCTGTTATTTATTTTCTTAATCGAAATCATAATTTGTGAGTTGATCTAAAAATGTGATGTTTCTGAACTCTGTGAAACAATGTAACATCCCATTGATGCTAGACTACATTTTACAATTCACTCACATTTAGAACCCTTTTAATCTTATACCTTTCATCAGTATTAAAAAGGAGTATATAGTGATAAGTATTCCAAAAATATTTGTGTTGAGTGTATATATGAATAGATCATAGAATCAATGCAAAAATATCCAGAATTTACATATGTAATAGGAGAGATTTGTTATTTTAAAGAATTTTATGAAAGTTAAAATGAAAGTCAATAAAATATTATCAAACAATTTATATAATAAGGTAGGATAGAAATAGTAAATGGAGGTTGGGTATAAAATGATTAAGCAAGTTCAAACTATTAAGATATTATTGTATAATTGTAAATAGGCCATTAATGGGTTTATCATTTATTTAATTAATCAATATAAACTGCTTGGAATATAGATTCATTTGGACATTCATATACTTAGAGTGGTCTAAATTATCTATTCAATATGAAATAATAAATTATAGAAAGAGTTGATGTAAATGATATCATATAAAGAGTAAAAAAAGGGAGATTAGAATTTATTTAGCATATTAAACCTTATGATTATTAAATTTTAACTCATTTAAGATTCAAGAGACATTCTTAAATTCATATTAATTAATCAAAACTTAGTGATAATACTTAATGTATTCAACTTTATAATTAACTAAAAGAATTTGAATAATTAATATATTATTAAAAATAAGGTGGTTTAGGTAACATATTATTTCATTATAGTGGTGATACATTTTAATATATAAATGAAACAAATATAGAATCTTAAAATCTTATAATAGAATTTTATGAATTATTTCAATGTCGTTAATTAAAAATATTATGGTCTACTCCATCTTAATTTTTCAATGATTTGAAATCATCATAATCATTTAATTAAATCTCACATAAATATTCAGATTTTCTACCACATTTTGAAGATGGTGTATATTTCAATGCTATGTATACAACTCACCCATAATTTAAAAGATTTCTAAGAACAATCTCTTATTAATTATAAGCTTTCCATTTATATACAATACAACATAAATTAATGTCTATTTCACTTTAAAAATTAACAGAACTTATTGCATTATCATAACATCATGATGGAATTTCAGCAACAGCTAGATATTAAGTTTTAGATGATTTATAATAATAAATAGAAAATTAATTTGAAGATTTAAAATAAAAAATTAATAATTATTAACATAATAAATTTGAATTAATTGGTTAATTAAAACATACCTATAAATAAACAAAAAGAATCATTTTAGATTGTTCATAAAATTCTAAATGTGTTTTAGAATATTTTATAAAAAATAGAAGATTGAAATCTGTTATTGTTTTAATCTATAATCCTTAACATACTTAAACTAAAATTATAGAATTAGAAGTTCCCTCTAGAAATGTTTAAATATTATCTTAAGATTTAATACTTATACCACAATAAGAAGTTAAAGTTAATAATGAAACAAATATTTTGACATTCTAAACTCATCTTAATGGATATAGTGAATAACAATTTGTTTTAAATTTTGATTGTTCAATTGAATGTGCCCCTATTAATGAATTTTAATTACATTTAGATTTAAGTGAATAAATTAAATAATTAGAAAAATAATTTTCATATGGTGAACCTATTGAAACTATAAGTTGGACTGAAATTATTTAGAATGTCACTTTAGAAATATAAAGATAAGGTATAGATTATGAATTTATATTCACTCATCTCAATCATTCCTTCTCTATCAAATACAATTATTATCCTAATTCAAAATCTTAATCTGAAAAATAGACTATCAAATCCCCTGGAAAATCAGTATTAATGAGTGATTTCAATAATGGAGGACTTATATGTGAATTTGAAAAAATGTATACATTAAAATAAAATACTTTTTTCTAAGAAGTAATACTTTAATGTGGTAAAATCTATACACTTAGTCTCCTCTTTATTCAAGATGGAATTGAATTAAGAACTTCAATGTATGCAAATACACTTACAATGGGAGATTATACAATGATGATAACATTTTAGAATATTACTCAAGATTCTAATTTTTATATTGATTCAAATGGTTTATATCCCATTTAGAGAGAACGATTCAAAAGAGAAGATTATGAACCAATATGTTAAGAAAACGATTAAATCAATTGTAATGTTTATCCATTTACAGCCTATGCATTATTATAATCAAATAATGTAGTGGCTTCTATCATCACAGATAGATCATAAGGAGTCTTTAATTTAAATTCTCAAACTATAGAAATTATTATAGAACATCTAGCTGGAGATGATGGAGTAGGTGAAGCTTGTGCAAAAAGAAATAATCATTTATTTAGACATTTCATTTAATTTAATCCTTAATGTCTTAGATGTAAATGGAATGAATTTATGTTTACTAATGAATTCATTCGCTTAAGTAACGAATTCTCTTCCTTTTAATATAAATAAATTATCCATTCAAGATAACTTAGATTATAATTTCATAGAACAAATTTTGATCAAATTTTATTATATGCTGAAAATCTTTAAGAAATTTTTGATAATTCCTCATTATAAAATAATACAATTACAATAAATACAACTTTAATTGAGAATATATTATCAATTGAGAACATCACCTTGTAAGACACATACTTAAATGGAATTCCATAATAATAATAAACAGAACCTTCATTGATTCTCTTACCTTTAGAAATAAGAACATATATTGTAAACCAATGATATTCTATTCATGTTGTCTATAAAAATTTATTAATTCTATATAAGTATACTCTATTACAAAAAAATAATCTAATATAATAAAAATATTAGTAATCAAATTTGTTTTTAAGATTAAATAAATTTATCTATTAATTTTATAATACACATATAAATATCAATATTTATTTTCCTGTCATTTTGGTAATTCCTTTTATAACTTCTCTCTTTATTTTTTCTTATCCATAATAACTTTAAATAAAGCTCCTACTATCAATATAGATCCTAAAACACTTAAATAAGATATATGAGCCCCTCTAAGTATATCAAATATATATCCATATAAGATTTATGTTTAACCCAACATAGACATTTCAGTTAAATCTCCCTTCATATATGCACGATTAAGAAAGATTTATTACAAATAAGAAACTAAACCAAGTAATAGTAATAAAATAGCCTCAATTAAAGATGGATTTCTCCAAATAAGGCTTGGATCAATTATGCAAACTATTGATGAAATAATTAAAGAAGTGATTCCAAAATATTATGGTATTACTAATTGATTTACCTAAAAATAATAATTGATTATAATACTTTATTTGATAAATTATTAATTAATACCTAAACCAATGAAAAGAAGAAAGCAGAAAATAATAATAAAATACATCCAAAAAATTATGTTTCAGAATTTTTAATAATATCAACACTTTAACCAAGAAGTGTTTTTAAAAAAGGAGGCTGAGTTATAAAAATAATCCCTATAAAACATACTATTAAATTTGTAAATAATTTCCATGATAAAGTTTCAGTTTTTAGATAATATATGGCTATTAATGTTGTCCAAAAAGGAGAAGTTTATAAAAGTACTTATGCTTCAGCAATATTAACATATCTAAGACCAGTGTAAAAAAGTAGAGTTGCAAAACATCCAATAATACTTCTTTAAAATAATTTGGTATAGACATCTCTTTAAAATCCATAGAGATCCACTTTTGAAATATTTGCTATAACTTACCCCAATAAACACATAACTATTCCTCTAACATAAACAATTTAATTAGCATTCATTCCAACTGTTTTTCCAAGAAGAGAATTTATTGAAATAAGAAATGTTCCAATCAAGATGTAAATGATTGGTGCAGCTCTATTCCACTTATTTTCAATAACCTTAGCACATTCTTAAGTTTTAAGAATAATTAATTCCATTTTAAATACTAAATTCTGAAAAATAATGAAAGAAATTTAATAATTTTTCATATCCATTAAATATTATTTTATATTTTCTTCTTTATAACTATAATGATCTCTAATATAAATATATATATATATAAATTATTATAATTATAATTCTTTTAAACTTATAAAATCTTCAATATATTAAAATAGCATAGTAATATTTCCAGTATTTTATCAAAATAAATGATCTTTAGTAATGTCAAATAAATTACAAAATATAATTGTTTTAATTATCTTTATATAAAATATATAAGTTAACAATTTATGATTTCTTACTTTATTTTGATATTGTATAATAATGTTTTAGTCAAATATTATTATAATTAGAATTATACTTCGGTTAATTTGGAATATTTAGTACAAATATTATTTATTATATTCACATATAATTAAGTGCTTAAAACTAAAATATAACAAATTTAGCATTAAACAAGTAAGTCATGGCAATCAAAATAGTATTTGGTAAAATCTTATCATTGGATAAATATGCACTAACTACGAACTATTTAATTAATTAATTTATATTATATGAGCTCTGATTATGAAAGTGATTCTGAACATTAAGAGTTTGTTACAACCTTTTTTAATCTCGTTTAAGATATTAATAAATGTAGTATTTATTAATCATATAAAAGATTTCCAAGTTCAGGCATAGAGAAATAGAACTGCTAAATTCATAAAAAATGCTAAAGCGCGAAGAAGTAATTATTGTTAAACTAATTAATATTAGAAGCTGGATAAATAAATTTCAAAATGCCATAAAGTCTTGATTAAAATGTATCAGAAATAGTTTCCTTCAATAAAAACTAAGCAGAGAAATTAGTTAAGCCAATGAGAAATTAAACAAAAAATTTAGAAAATTCATAAGTTGAACCTTTTATTTGCAACGTCCATTAAATACTTAGGTAAATATATTATGAATTAATCAAGAGATATCAAATTGAAATAATAGATCTTAAGAAATGTTTAAAAATAAGTTTATTTGAATTTAATCGATCATCATAATAAAAAGCCATCTAAATTGTAACTAAGAACAAGCTGCTTACATGTGTAAATTCATATCATATTATAACTCTAGATATTTGGCAGAAAAAATATATGCTGATAAAATAAAAGATGCTGCCATTAACCAAACAGTTCATGAAACTCCAAATATAGTAATCCCCTTGTTCAAAAATATCATGCAGACTAGAAAAGGAAGCATGGATTGAATATAAAGTTTTGATTTACTTGTTCTTTTTAAATTTGTTTTAAGAATAAAAATAAATCTGTTTAAATTGTTAAATTTAATTAAGTGTGAATATAGTAGTATTTGATATCTAAAAACTCAATATCAATCAAATAGTAATCGCTTTATTTCTAAAATTGTTCAATTCAATTAATTTTAAACTCATTTTATTAACTTAATTAAGAAATTCATTACAAAATACTCTTTTTCAATTTGGATAGTATAATTATAGAATTTCTCACAACCTTTATATCTTGTATTTATTTTCTATATTGTAAAAAGACCATAATAAATAAAATTTAATTATAATACTTAAATAGGTTATTAATTTACTTCTTTTTTTATTAATTTTTACCTCATACTCAAATTTTTATAAATATTTGCATCTATAAATTATTCTTTTATTTATTTCTTCATTCTTTTTAATTATGAAAAGAAATGAAAATATATTAAATTTAATAGATATCAATAAAAAACTTTTTCAACTTTTCTATATGATAAAATATTTATAGGTACTTATAAACTATAAGACAAATCCAACGGTGAAAAATTAATATATCATTTTTCAGTTGCCCAAACAAGATTTTATTTTTTCAGCATCAATCGTTAATAATTTTTATATCTAATTATGTTGATTATAGTTAATTGATTATAAATAAGGTTTATTTAATAGTTGAACATCAATTATTTGATTTCTTAAGGATTATTATTATTCTTAAAATGTAATAATAAAACAATCTTGATGAAATAAGCTTAAAAATTAGATAAAGAAAATAAACCTTAAGTTAAATAAGAGAAGTGCTAGTTCATGATAAATATTTTGAGGAAGCTGTGTCTATTTCAAAGAATGTCGATATTTTAATATCTAGAGGAAAAATAGATGTGGATATATTTTTGAAGAAAATAATAATATTTGGAATGCTTATTAGTATAAAATCATGAAAATTAGAGCTTAATCACTTGAAATTAGAAATAATTAAGACAAAATAAATGCAATAGGGGATTATTGTAAAATGTTGAGAGATGCAAATTTAGTGAAGTTAACACAAAAAGAAGAGATGAAAGCTTTGATATAATAAGGACTACCAGATGTTCGTTTAAAGCTTTTAAATGATATGCAATTGATTTATAATGGAATGATATTTCCTTAGAATCTTAGTTTTAAAAGCGTTACTAATAAAATATGTCTTATAATCGATATTATTTACAATTCATTTGCTGGTAAGTAGATTGTTAATATAAGATTCTATTTACTTGGGTCAAGATTATCTAGATAAAATGGATAAGAGTGATTAGATTTTATATAGTATGGTGATTGTACCAATTTAAAATTATATTGAATAACTTGTTAGCATTCAATTTGAAGAAGAAACAGTATGAAGAATCTATATTTGTTAGAAACATTTGTTGAGCTTAAATGGGATTTGTGTGAACATTGACTTAGATCAATGAATGATTTTTTATTAATATTGTTTCCAGCAGAGTGTTGTATATCTATATATATTTAATTTCTAATTAACATGTTCAATAAATAGCCTTTCTATTTACATACATCAAGATTTTAAAGACAATCATAAAGAGCAAATGTTTTACCATCAGTGGCTTAATATTTATAGAAAGTTAGAACTCCTGAAAAAAACATTCCAAAATAAAAGGAATCTCCATCATACAGAATTAAAAGCAATCCTAAAATAAATTAATAAAGATAAGCATCATCATCAAGTCCAACAAGAGAAAAACCTTAACTTAAATACAATTCTTTTCATTCTTAATAAATAAGACAAAAAAGAAAACTATAAGAAATGGTTAATGATTCTTAAGCTATATCGAGAAAATAAAAAACAGAAACTGCATTAGAAAATTAAGTCTAAAGTCCTAAAAAAAATGTTTTATAGGAATCTTAAGAGATTATGTTAAAATTACAAAAAAATGCAGCAGTTAGAAGAGTTAAAACTGAAGAATGTGATAGAGAAGATCATTTGAATTCTATTAGAGGAACAGTTTAAAGATAAAATAAAAATTAAAAATTTGAAAACTAGAACCTCTTAGATTTATTATTGCTATCTACAATTGAATTAAAACATCATTTTGAACAAACTAGAACAGCCAGATAAATTATGCCAACTAAAGCTAAAGTGGCTAGATTAAGCATCAAACAATTTCCAAAAGATTTCTTTTGTTGAAATACTACTTTTTTATGATAATATTGGAATAAATTATAAAAATCAAATTGCTTTGAGTTCTTACATAAAATCTGATATTATTATATCAAACTAATGATTATTTTCATCAGATTTAATATTCTTAATTAGATTATAATATTTGATCAATAATCTATCTATTGAATTAATCTCATTAAATGCATTATCAATAAATTTTTTTAGTAAAATTTAAGGACTTAAACAATTAATTTAATATTCAAGAATGATATTATTGTTATTATCTTAATCTAATTTTTGAAATAATTAGTAAAATTTTAAAACTTTTGTATCTTTTCTAACAAATTTGTTCAATTTTTAAGATTAATTCATTTCTCCTATAAAGAAAAAAAAAGAACAGGAGTCAATAATACTCATTATTAAATTCGTAAGGAAAATCTGAATATCTAAATCTTATACTAAAAATTGTTTGTAAATTAATAGTATTGATTATTAATTAATTGATTTATATATAATCTTAAAATGTTGATCCTCATAAAGTAATATCCAATGATCTAATAAAATACTCTGATGTTTGAATTTAACCTAAATTAAATTTTATGCTTCGAGATTTGCAATCACATCTGATGATATTTATTGTGGCCGTATTCCAATAATTGAATTTCTAACAAATGTTGCGTACTTTTTTTTATATAGACTATCTTCTTCATTGTATAAATTATCATTAGAGCTTTGATCTTGATCAAATTATATTCTATTTTAATCATTCATCTTAAACTCTTTAGAAGAAGTTGTATTAATAATAAAATTTATATATATATATATTAGCAATATTAATGATCAAGCATTAATAATAATTTTCTTCTTAGCCAATTCAGCCTTATATTTATCTGGAATTGCTTTATCATTAAGATCCTTTAACTTATGGTCTTTAATAGTCTCCAAAAGCCTTTTTTCTTAATTCAATTTATCCTTTATTTTTTTACCTTCCTCAAGTCTTTAATTAAAATATTATAAAAATACTTATCTCTTTCCTCCTACTTCTTTCTCTCTTCATTTTAAATAATTTATTTTCTAAGTTCTTCTGCATGTTTCTTTCTTAATGCTTCTTTTTCTTATAAGATTTTAATCTCATTTTCTCTTTCTTATTTTTATTTCTAAATAACTTTTTAAAATTCATCTCTTTCTAATTTAGCCTATTTATAATAATAATAAAGAATTTACTTATTCTTAATATCTCTCTTATTTCTCTTTTTATTATAATTTTCTAGCTTCCATAACTTCATAATTTAATTTCATCTTCAACTCTTATTCTTTTCTTTCTTTCTCTCTAGCCTATCTTTCATTTTATTCCATAGCTCTTTTAGCTCTTAATAAATCTAATTCAGCTGCTCTATCTTAAGCTTTTTCCTACATTTCTCTTAATCTCTACACTTCTCTTTCTTTCTCTTCTTTAATTCTCTTTTATTCTTCTAATAGTTCTGCTTCCTTTTACATCTTTTATAAATTATATTATAATATTTTTTCCTCTTCCTCCCTCTCTTCTTATATTCTTTTCTCTTTAATCAAAATAGCTTTATGATTGGCCTCTAGAATTTCATCTTGTACTTTAGCTTGATGACTTTTTCTTAGCTAAGCTTTTTGAGCTTCTTCTTATTATAATTATTTTATTTATTTAAGCATAATCTATCCTTCTCTTTCTTATTCTTCCTTTTCTTTTAATCTTATCAATTCTCTTTCTTTAATTTATTCAATAATTATTTCATGTCCATTTTTTAATTATTGTTTTTACTTCTAATCTTTTTCTTCATGATATTTAATTGCTCTAAGTCTTTCTATTTCCATCATCAAATCCTTGCGTTTTTCTTGCATTTTATATTAATCATATAACTCTTTTTTTTCTTATAATTATTTATCTCTGATTGTTACACATTTAGCATACATTACCATTTTATTCATTTCTTTTACATCATCAATTTATTCATTGATTATTTCTTATGCCTAATAATATAAATATTTTATTTTAACTCTTGATATTAATGAATCTTTGGCAAATTTATCTTCCTGTTCTTATTAACTCAAAGGAATAGATTTCTTCTTCTCTTCTTCAATCTATAACATTCTTTATTTTTTTGCTTATGCAGCTGCCAACTGTTTCTCTTTCTATTCTTCCATTAACTTTTTTTGTTACAATTACTCCTCTTTTGTTGTTATTACTGATAGATTCTATTTTAATCTCTTTTATATACCTTTATTCTCTTTAATTCAGACTCTGTCAATACTATCATGTCAGATTAAGAAAGATCTCCTTTAAAATAACTTTTTGTCATTTTCTATCTCTTCGATTGATTATTGGATGTAACTACACTCTGTTTTGTGGATAACTCAAAAAATTTATTACTCTATTACCATTTGATGACTGGCTATATGAAATACACTAAAAAAAATAAAATTTAATATTTTAATGGACAAGCAGATACGTTTAAATTAGGAACAGATCTTGCAATGTATTAGAAATCATAGAGATTTAAATGAAATCTTATCAAAATAGAAAGACCATAGTTCATAAGAATTATTTGATGAAATTGAGAGAGTTACCAACAATATGTCAAATGAAAGTAAGGAGAGTTAAGAAAGCAAGTCAAATAGTGATACAATAGATAGGGCTATTAAAATGTTTGCAGGTAAATTCAATATATAAGTTAAATTCTCTAGAACCTAAAGTGATCCTTTATAAGAAAGAAAATAGTCTAGGCTCTGATCAAATAATGGAATAGATATCCCAAGTCTTTAACAACAAATCATTTGATTAGAAAGTGGGCTCAAATCTTTCTACTGAGATTTCTAATGAACCTTGTTTATAATTAGGCTCATCCCGTCAATCTTTGTTAACTAGTGGTTCAGAAACAGAAAGGAGAAAAAGAAAGACTATTTCTGAGGAGGAATCTCATTATTTTGTTGTTAGACTTGAGGATGTCATTAATTATTCAGATGAAAGAACTACAATAATGATCAAGAACATACCCAACAAATATACAGTATAAATGTTATAAGATTTAATTGACCTTAAACATCATGATTCATATGATTTTTTATATCTCCCTATAGATTTTAAGGTAATTATAACTTAAATACTAAATATAGAATAAGTGTAATATGGGTTATGCATTCATAAATTTTATCCATCCACTTTACATAGTGTAATTTTATAAAGATTTTCATGATAATGGTTGGCCACATTTCAATAGTGAAAAAGTAATCCTTTTTATTTATTTAGATATGTGAATTGAGATATGCCAGAATCTAAGGACGTCAAGCCTTGGTATAACATTTTTAATTTTCAAGTGTCATGAATCAAAAAGTAAACCTATATAACATTTTAGGATAAAAAATTAAAGCCAGTAATAGTACCATAAAGTGAATTATCCAGAATTCATTAATTAATACAAGTAAATCACTCTTTAATTTTAAGCGACAAAAGTAATGAAATAAATGATATAATTTTTAACATTTTTTGGTGTTTTTATGCATATTAACTTATATTTATATTTTTTCTAAAATATTTGATTTAAATTATTTTTTAATATCTATTTATTTAAGAAATAACAGAACTTAAAATAATATATGAATAAATAAATTATTCATATTCAAAATAATTAATAAATCTTATATATATATTAGAGATATATTTTAAAATAATTTATGATAAAATCATTTTTTTTTTGGTTATTATTTAAGACCTCCTTCTGGATTAATGATTACTTCAATTTCTATTGGCACAAAATCACCTATTGAATTTGTTGATTTATTAGAAATAACTAATATAAAAGAGATCAATACCATAATAATATTTTCCAGGTGGAAAATCTTCAGGGTATTCTAAATTTTCGATTCTAACCATTCCTTCTTTTGTTTCTACAATCAAAGATTCGTTATCTCCTTCAACATACAATTTCACAGATAAATCTATTTGATCTGGTTCAGGTTGTTTTTTTGCTTATTTTTTAGCATCTTTCTTTTTAACAGGCTATTAAGCTTATTATTCTTCTAATTGTTTTTATGCTTCAATTTCTGCTTTCAAACGAGCTACTTCTTCTCTTCTCACAGCTAATTTTTCTCTATAATCAATTCTAAATAACTTATCTCCTTATTCAGTTTTTTAAACTTTAATAAAATTCATATATATTACTCATCTTTAATTCTAAAAGTCTTCCAGATTCCTATTTGATGTGAATTGGAGGAGCAGGTATCATTCTCTTTGCTCCAAAATCAGGCATTGGTGGTGGATTTTTTTATTTTTTAGCTTCTTTTTACCAATTTTTAACCATTTCATCAATTTCTTATTAAGTAGGTTAAACTGGATCCTCAATATCAGGTCCTTAATAAACTAAATAGAGTTCAAAATTGATAGTTTTCCCTGACTTTAATTCATGAACTAAAACTTAAGTTAAATCAATAACAGGTTCTCCCTTCTTGGCTTTTGGATCTATAGGTTCTTCTGGTTATGGATCTAATTTAAAATTAAGTTTATTGGCTTGCACTAATAATATATATTTTTAAATCTATACATGTAGGATTATCTTAAAGAAATTCACCAGCATAATAATATGGATTCTCTCCTTTCTTGACTAAAATACCTGGACCATGTTTTTTATCATCCAAGAATTCTCCTTCATAATCTTCTAATTTGCTTTCATACTTTCCTTTTCCTGATCTTTTACCTCTATCAAATTCTCCAATATAATTATATTCTTCAGAATAATAATTGCAATGTCCATGAGGTTTATGTTATAAAAAAGTTCCTTCAATTCTGTAAATAGGTGTTTACAAAATTCCACTTCCTTACATACAATTTAAAAACCATTATCCTTCATATGTCATATTTGCTGATGAAAAAACCCCTTATCCATGTTTCTCTCCTTAATGAAACTCCCCTACATACATTGATCCATTAGCGTAATGAAATTCTCCATGACCTTCTATTTCTCCCTTTTCAAAATTTCCTTAATAATAACTTCCATCTT